TTATCTAGTTTCAGGGAAAACACTATTGACCATTACTAATATATATTAAAATATGCATCGAAGCTTCTTTATAATTTCTAAGCTTCCTCTTCCCCCACCTGGGCCTCCAGTGTTTAAAATGTGATTCACTTGAGGGCTTTTCAGTCTGCTATATTGAATATTCATTTGCAGATGTCAGGGTTTTTGTAAGACTGCTATGCACTGGGTCAAAGTGACTCTGAAATCCCTGTATGAGGGGTCATTTTTTAGAGCTAAAAAAAACTACCTACTGAAGACTGTCAAGCCTTTTCGGGAATGGAAAATGTTTTTGTCTCGGGAAGTATTTTTTTCAAGCTTACTGTGGAACTGAGGATTTTCTGAGGGTACCCTGTTCCATTTCTAAAAGCTTGAGGTTACATAGCAAACTGATGCTCCAATGTTTTTTTGTGGTTTTGTAACATGTGAATATAGGAATAGGAAGTAGACTGCTCATCTTAAAAGCCTACTTATTAGATCATAATGGATCTTTTATTCCATTACCTTCGTATTCTTTAATTTACCAGTCTGCAAACTAATTTTCACAAGCCTGCTACATGCTAGGTTGTCCTGGAGATACATTCTGATTTCTTTCAGTATGGTAATATTAAATGATTGTGCCACATGACATTTCAGCTTTAAATAATTGATATTTCAGCTTCAAGAATGATAAACTTATGTTTGGAAAGTCAGTTGTTCAACACTAACTGCAACAATTTACAATTATAGGGCATTGTTCACATTGGGAGATTGTCTTAAAGCAGCCTTGCAAAGGATCCACCAGATCCCAAGGTGAAACTTGACATAACTTACCAGTGTAAGGTGGAAATAGGTTATAAGTATTTTCACCAAAAAAAAGTATACCGTATACAAGTAGAGATCAAGGATCAAAGAATTTTCCTATTGGTCTTCAAATGATTATAGTCAGTCACACTGGTTTGGCTTAAACTTTGAGCACTTAAAATCTTGTTTTGTTGAGGTGCTGAGGTTGTGATTTCCTTGTATGTAAATTTAGAAACAAGCCTTGGGCGGAATGTGTGAGCATAAATAAATAATGCGCAAATATCTAAAATGTAATACATTTTTTGTTTGCTTTATTCTCCTAAGTCTCTGAACAGCAAAATTTGGACTTGATGTGGAGATCTGATGACACCTATTGTAGTAAATTTACTGTAGTTTGAAGTTGATTACTGTGTGGTCCGAGCAGGAAAAGAAAAAAAAGCTAGCGTGTTTGCCATATGCTTCAATAAATAAGGGTAGTACAGGATGACTTCCACATTTTTGAAGAGACTTTTGTAAAATGTAATCTGAGTTCTATCTTAACAATGTTATCACAACTTTTCCAAATAACTGCTAGAAAATTAATTGTAGTGTTAACACTGTTGCCAAGAAACTGGAGAGGAATTTGTTTGTAGGTAAAATGGCTTGCATTGCGAGTTTTATTACTGTTCATAAGCAATAAATAAATATTTTACTGTCATAGAAATAATAGAAACCAGGTCATTATAACAAATAGCACTTGCCATATACCATGAATATTCCTTTAATTTAACAAATTGAGTTGAGGAAGGATTGCAGATGAAACCCTGTTATACTGCTGGGCATTACTTCCACCAGTTGAGCAGTTTGTGGCTGGAAATCTGATTGACGCTTTGCCTGTCCCCAAAGCTCTTGCTAGCGGCTAATAGAGCTCTTCTAACCAGTGACAAACTCTGATCAGTCTTTAATGTTAATGAACCAATAATGTGATCAGTTCTCTCATAACTTCAAAAATAGTCCCTAGAATTTTCAATGGAGACTAATTTGATTTGCACCACCTACACTGTACTGCAACAGTAAAAATGATGAAACCACCTCAATGTTCCATCTTTTTGGTTCAGTCTGTTCAGTCACATTTCAGATAACCACTTATCATCGCTTAAGAATTTACTCTGCTAGGTTTGGGTTGGTCTCTGGATTCTTTTGCTCACCAATGAGTGCATTTTACATATCCAGAAGCAATTACTGTCCATAATGGAGTCCTGTAGCTCAGTGGTTAGAGTTAGAGCACTCGCTTTGCAAGTGAGAGACCTGAGTTCAATTCCAGGCAGGTCAGGGCGAAACCTTGGGCAAGTTTCCTTACTCCACACAGAGCCTAATAATAATCACTCCAAAACCAAAAACAATAATTAAATTGGTCATTTTCAATCTACGACTGTTTGTGGGACATTGCTGTGCGCAATTGGCTGCCGCGTTCGCCCACAAATATACAGTCAATTCCCTTTACAGTGTGTTCTGTGAAGCGCTTTGGGACGTCCTCCCGACGTGAAAAAGCGCTATATCAAATGCAAGGGTTATTATTATTATTATTATAATCATAGCAAGGTATGCTTGAGTGATTGATGCTAATTTAGGGCTGTAGGTATTGCTATTCTGGGTTTCTCTGCAAACGGCTTCTCCTCCAGCCCCCGCATCATCTCGTGCGGCGTTCCTCAGGGCTCTGCCCTCAGTCCCCTCTTCTTCACCCTCTACATACTCCCCCTTGGTGACATCATCTGCTGACATGGGATAAATTTCCACATGTATGCAGATGACACCCAACTCTATCTCTCTGCCTCCACCCTCAACTCCAGGACTACTGGTGTCCTGACCGACTGCCTGTCTGACATCAAGTCCTGGACGAAGGACAACTTTCTCCAACTGAACATCAGCAAGTCCGAGGCCCTCCTGATTGGCTCGCGCCAGCGCTTCCGCACCTCAGGCGCTGGCAGCATCAGCCTCCACGGCTGCACAGTCAATCTCACTAAGCCAGTCAGGAACCTGGGTGTCTTGTTTGACCCTGAACTGTCCTTTCTCCCCCACATCCGCGCCATGACTGGCATTGCCCTCAGGCTGCCGAAACCCTCACTCACGCATTCATCACATCAAGGCTCGATTATGGAAACTCCTCCTCATCGGCTTCCGAATTCTTCCCTTCACAAGCTGCAGATCATCCAAAACTCTGCAGCTCATGTACTCTCGCGCACCAGGGCTCCGTGACCCCATCACTCCCACCCTCACCCGACTCCACTGCCTCCCCATCCCCCAGAGGATCGAATTCAAGATCCTTGTCCTCACTTTCAAGGCCATCCATGGCCTTGCCCCCTCCTACCTCTCTGACCTGCTGACTTCCTACCAACCTGCCCGCTCCCTCCGTTCAATGGGCTCTGGCCTGCTCCATGTTTCCCGCCCTAACATCGGTGGCCAGGCTTTCAGCCTCTCTCCCTCTACACTCTGGAACTCCATCCCACAGTTCCTTCGCCTCGCTTCCTCCCTTGCCTCCTTCAAGGCCGGTCTCAAGCCCCACCTCTTAAATCGTGCCTTCAGTTGCCCTCCCACCTCTCTGCCTTCCCTCAACCCTACCCCACCCCTCGGATCCTGACCCCTGACTGTCCAGCGGTTTGGGACGTCCTCCCGACGTGAAAGGTGCTCTATAAATATAATTTTGTTGTTGTTGTTATGATGCCCCAATCCATTAAATTTGGTTTGCTCAGTGATCAGCCAAATTATCCTCATTTCTTTGTTGTATTTCACTCACTGAAACATAAAGTCAAGGAAATAGGTGTCAGATGAGCAGACCTTGTCACCTTTCTCCTCAACCCCATAGCTTTGAACTTTAGGATAGAGTTGCCGCGGAGGCTTTGCCCCTACACGGGGACATTTGACTTTCTTGGCACCAACTGGTACAAGAATTCAAGCCAGGAAAGAAGCAGCTGGCATTGCATGTTCTAGTTTAGTGCCAGCTGGCGTTGGGCATGAAGAGCATGATTCGTGTGTGGCAGTGGGCCAACTTCTGATACTGTCTGCACCACCCTTTTCTGTTGCAGACAGCTAATTGTACCAGCTGTCATTTTTCCATTAACTCTTAAATGCACAGCGTCATCTGGTGGTGAAAAGAACCTCTGGTATTGATTAGTGTTCTTTATGATGAAACTGCCTTGCACAGAATGAAGAAAAAAGCTTTGCTACCAGGCTGCAGTACCTCCTTGCTGATATTGAGCTTGCATTGGACAAGACCCACCGTCTTCAGATTTTGGGTGCTTTCCCGTGTCATTTTGTAGGAACTGATGAGGAGAAGGATCAGACTATGAGCATAAGTTACATGCAATGTTTTGGATTGCAGCTTCATGGATCATTGGGGCTGCTGCAAGATTCTTTCCTCCCCATTGCTGGTGGTTCTGCCAGTCTTTTAATGGATTATGGGACATCATATAAAAAGACCACACTTTGCCACATCCGCCCACAAATGATGCCTTCTCTCACCCCTACCAGGCTTTTTGTTGCCAGGCTTTTAGAGAATGATACTGGCCTTGCCATTTGCCCAGTGCTTGGGTTGGGGAAATTAATCAACTGTCTTTGTTAGGAATATCCAAATTCAAAAGTATCATCCATTTGCTTTGCCTGCAATTGAAGATGTATTAGTTCCTGAAGTAAGCTGCTTACTTGACTGATGCATTAGAGCATGTTCCAGCAGGTCAGGAAAGAAAGGAATTTTAAAAATTCAGGCAGATGCTGACAGGCCTGGACAAGTGGCTGCTCAACAGATTTCTTGCAAATGAGAAATTCAAGAGTAACATACTGCCTCAAATTATTCCTCAAATTATTCAGCCATGTTACCAGGGAGATTTGCTGACCACGATACACTTGAAGGCCACTCTACAGCATATAGCCATACAGACAGCTCCTCAATGTAACAGTAAAGCAAAAATTACCTATACAAGGTATTTTCTTTTAAGAACAATTCATGCGGCAAATGTTTTATATAACAATAACATTCGCAGACAAGCTCAATTTCATCCTCTACAGTGTTCGATTCTGGCCAGAGACATTACATTAACCCAGCTGAAATATCTTGCAACATTCTTGATCAAAGAATGTATTGAGATGTACTCACTTTTTATTGAAAACAGCAATTATCTAGCCATTGAATTAAGTACTTTGACATGCATTTTGTTTACTACCTACAGGCTGTCGATGATGACGCAGTGGATGCTTGAATGACGTGACAACCGAGGGAAGGAGGAACGATGCCCAAGAGTGGGTGTTCTAAAACACCACAATCGGAGGATTACCCACTCAACATCGATATGGTAGAGAAACAGTCGGGGAAAAAGGTAAAGTCTGAGAATCATGTGAAAAATGACTGGGTTTATTCACTCTTTGGAATCTTTCATTCCCCATCAGATTTGCACAGAGCAATGCATTTACTTCCTTATGTAAAGAAATTGTCTTGCATCCAGTAGTTTGTAAAGATGGATGCCAGCAATATTCATTCATAGTAGTAATCTGAAAGTCATATTAATCTGTCCCTTCAGATTTAAGCAGTATTGTGTTATCTTATGCTTTCCATATGAGCCAGGCCAAGGAAAAGTCAAGGCAACAATCATTATGAGACATTATGATGTTGGGATTCTGGCCGTATGGTTTTCCCTCACTGGCTGTTCAGTTCTTTTTCCTCTTGTCAGGAAATATTTAATTTTAATCACCATCAGCTCCTGTGTTTTGCTTGCTCGTGAAACATGTAAGAAATATGTTTCCTAAGTAAAAGTTCTCATAAATTAGTTTAGTGATCATTTAATCACTCACAGAACAGGCTAATTGATATTTATTTTCTTCTTAAACCAGAGCAGGTCCACGCCATGCACTATTTTAGTTCCTAGCTGTTGTTTAATGTACATTGATACTGGATACAAAGTACTGTAATTGAAATGTCAAATCTTTTCTTCATAGTTGATGAAACTCCACTTTGCCCTCCCTCTAGGTGGCACCATACATTGACTCTCACAGAAGGCGTTAAGAATTCAGAGGAAATAAAATACCAAAAAACATTTTTCTTCCTTGTCCAAAAATATTTCGATCTGAAAATGAATGGGTTCATCAGGATCCCAATCATGTGAAAAAATTATGGAGACAAATGATTACATTTGATCAAGGCATCACATCAGACCAACAAATTAACAGACATACGTTCTGCTTGATAGTCTAGTGAATCTCAAAAATAATCTTAGGCAAAAAGGCAATGGATATGGTTTAACAATTTCCCTATCTGCGTGTCCAAAATAGGCCGACCAAAAATGTTTGTACTGATACAACAGCAAAGGCGAACATTGCAAAATGAACTGAAAAGAATAACCAAAATATGTGAAGAGAAAGTTGTACTAGCTCACTGGTTTATTGCTCTGTAAAGGACAGCTTTGATAATGCACGTCCTAAATCAAAAATTCTTCTCCACATATGAAGACCGAGAGCTTCTGCATCATTGTACAGACATCTAATTTCTGTTTCTTTCGTTACTTTGTTGCCTACATTCATCTATAGACAACATTGATCCACAAGTGGCTGTATTTTATGACCAATTCATTACGTTTCAGTGCTGCAAAGCTGTATAATATGAAGTGGCAAAGAATTGCAACTTTTTTTTAAAAAAAATGACTTTCTGAGCTGTCACTTTATAATTCAGGAAAAGGAAAAAATTGCATACAACAAGACAACGAAGTTGGAACGAAGTGATGGAGGGAAAGAGGTGAAGGAGAAAGCACCAAAGAGGAAGCTGCCTTTCTCTATTGGAGTTAACAGCAGTGATCAGAAAGATTCCGACACAGGTGAGGGAGGCTTCCACAATAAAGGTGACTTTAAGGATAATGATGGTGGCCAAGTACTGTGTATGGATTAGCAGTTGAATATTTTGGATGCAAATTCTGTTGTCACGGTTACTCTGTTTTTGCATAATCTATTCTGTATAAATTGGATAATATATTGTAAATATTAATATTACTGAGGACAAGAATTTTCACTCACAAAGTATAGAGGGCACCCAGTACACTTGGGTTACTGACATTCATGGGGTACATGGATGGGTGAGAACCGTCGCAGTCTCATTCATTTCTAATTTTGTTGTTATTCCTGTTCGGTTCAGATAAAAGTTCTGGATTTTAACTCTGATGTAGAGAAGTGCATCATTGTATTGAATTTCATAAACACTGGGTCCAAGTTTTATATGTGTGGGTCTTGGAATAACAAGATGAGTTTCATGCATTCATCTAGAATTTTGACCATGATATCTAGGTTTATATGAGGTACCCATTTCTTTTAAAAAAAAACGCTTTTGGTGGAAAGAAGCAGATATAAATCAGGCTTGGATCATACATCCAATTGCTATCTTGCAGTCCTTCCTTGAAGTGTCTGTGAGGAAGTTGCATGACTCTTCTCCCCCCCCCCCCCCCCCCCACAATTTGATTTGTGTTTTTAACAATTAATTATTTTGCTCCGTAATTTTACTTGCAGAGAAGCTAGGTCCGGAGCGGAAACGAATGAAGAAGGAGGCTGGAGGCAGAAGGTCTGGATTGTTATTTGGGGCAGGAATTCGAACGGGCTGTCCACTCTCAGAACGTCAACAAGTTGCTTTACTCATGCAAATGACAGCAGAAGAATCAACAAACAGTCCAGGTCGGTCATTTCCAAAAGCTACCTGCTATAGGATGGGTCACATGTTGTTGTGCTGGATTATTCTATTTATTCTTCAGTGCTTCACCGTTGAACTAAGCTACTCCCCCCACCCTCCCCTTTATGAAGCAGGCTATATAAATGTGGGTTGTAGTAGTACTTCTGTTTTGTAACTTCCTGATTCTATCCCTTTGTCTCACTCTCTCTTTATATATGTTTAAGTCCCACCTTGAAAGTTACCTTTTCGACTGCACCTATGGTCGTCTTTCTACTCCCCCACCCACTCAGCAATCTTTGCAATTCTTGCTGTGGAAATATCTAGAATGAGAGACATTGAATCACACCCAAAAGCTTTCTGTAAAATATTTGTCAATAATAACACTGCAGCATATTTTAAACTAGAATGAATGTCTGGAAAATTGATTTTTATCATAAATGTGCAGGACAATGAATTCGCAGTTCACGCACTGATATCACAGACATTCGTCTATTTGTTACAGATCGTACGCCAAAGCATCCCTCACAGTCGATACTTGGACAAAAGAGAACACCAAGTTCTGCCTCCAAAACCAAAGACAAAGTAAACAAGAGAAATGAACGTGGAGAAACGCGTCTTCACAGAGCTGCAATTAGGGGGGATGCAAGGCGAATTAAGGAACTCATAAGTGAAGGTGCAGATGTAAATGTGAAAGACTTTGCAGGTAATATAACTAAATGGACAATATTTTCTTACTGTAAGCAAAACTATTCACTGTTTATACATGCATTGACCTTTTAACTTTTACGGTTGTGGTGGGTTGCTTAAAAAAAAGTGAAGTGCAAAGATTTTGAAATTTGTTAATTTTAGTTGTGAGATAGCCGGTGGGAAACATGTTACACTGATCTAAAAGGGGTGCCTTTCTGAGTTTGTGGGTTGTCGAACGTAGTGGAACACTGTAGATGGAGATTTAGTCTAAACGTGCTGTATTCCACCTGGATTCCCAAAGTGGGAACATGTTATAAGCACCAACATGCCAGTCGGTGAGTGCAAAAATCACCAAAACACATTTTAATAAAAAAAAGCCCCAGTGCTTTAGTTGCCTTGAATATCAATATAAAATATTACAGAGGTGCCCAATAAATAAATGTTCATTTAAGAGTTGGATTGGTTACATTTACAGGCTGGACAGCACTGCATGAAGCATGTAATCGAGGTTACTACGACATTGGCAAGCAGCTCCTAGCAGCAGGAGCTGAGGTCAATACAAAAGGCTTGGACGATGACACACCTCTCCATGATGCAGCTAACAATGGCCACCGCAAGGTTTGTTCCATTTGATTGTTTTTTTTGAGTTTTATTCTCTCATTTCTGAAAAACACAAAAGTTATTCTTTATAATTTTAGTTCACCAAAGGAGACTTGGTTGCTACACTGCAAAAGCAGTGACTGGAAATCAGATTTTTCAAGAGTTTATACCACACAATACACATTATAAGCGGTATCTTTTCCTCTTAACCAACCCCCACCCCCAATACTGTAATATCGATGTTTAGGCACCATCTGCAATGAGAATGCTGACCTGCAGTTGTCAGAGCTTAATTTTGATGCCTTAGAGTGGATGGGCTCTGGCATAATTTGAATAAATTAGCCAAAGGGACAGGTAGTTCATTAAATATTGCCCCAGTATATACCATCTTTACTCCTAGCTGTTTATGGTCAAACCTTTTTAACGGTCTCACGTTGTGGGTTTGTTACTGGAGTCTGCACAAATGGTTGAAATTTAATTTACTATATTCCATCTTGCACTGGGAAGGAATGTTTATACATCAAAATAGGTTTGACCTGCAAAGAGGAGGAGGCAGTTTGGTTAATCTGAACAGGTGACCAAAGGTTGAATCCTCGAATTTGTTATGTTTTCATATGCTACAAATTGACCCCATTGTTACTGCTTGATTGCAGTGTTACTGTTTAAGATGTTACCTCTTTTACTGATTCTTTCATAAATCAGCACTGAGGTTCAGAAAAATAGTAAAGAACTCTCTTATTACTCTGGCATACTGAAACTGGTGAATTATATATTGATCTGTTGATGCCAATCTTCCCTGAGGCCTTGACTACAGCCAGTTGGAACCCAAGTAGCTCACGAAAAATAAATTGTAAATTGCTTCTGTACATCACCTTTATTGACACTGTCTTAAGTCAATATAAAATGATAAAATTAATAGTAACAATTTCAGTCTGGCAGAATATGAGTTGGCTTTTGTTCTTTGCATAAAAGATAATGAACCCTAAAGAGAAACATTCTGCTCACTTGAAGTCAAGTTATTGCTATATTACCTGAACTGTTTTTTGGGATTTGTTTCAGGTAGTGAAGCTGCTGTTGAAATATGGAGGGAACCCCCATCAGAGTAACAGAAAGGGCGAGACACCGCTCAAAGTTGCCAATTCCCCCACCATGGTGAACCTGTTACTGGGGAAGAGCTCCTATAGCTCCAGCGATGAGAGCTCGACAGGTGAAAGTAGCAACAGTTTATTAATGGAGTGAAACCTTGTATTATCCATTACTTACTGGTAATTATTCCTAATACCAGTGGTTCGGCAGGGTCCATTAATGAATTTCTGTGCTTAGAGCATGTCAAACTAACTACCAACAGAGCATAGACATAACTTTGAACTTTGTTAATATATGATCCTGGTACTACAAATTATTAGTAGAGTTAAAACAAACTTGAGTCCAATTTTTTTTTACCAACAAATGTATATGTAAAGGATAGGAATCGATCATTGCCATTTTGTTTAGACTGCATATATCTAGTGCAAAAGTGATGCAAAATTTCACGTATTGTAACAAATGTAGAATAGCAGTGTGAATTGTATGTATATTTGTCATTGTTTTTTGGGAAGAATTCATTTTATTCAACTGTTACAATCTATCTTTCAAAATGCACATTTCAGTTGGGCATACAAAACCCAAATGCTACAAAGCAGAATCAATTAAGTGATACAGCATGTAATAGCTCACAGTAATAGTTCACAGCATTGCTAAAATTAATTTAATGCTATTCTAGCCTACTGAATGTTAAATTCAAAAAGAGGTTCAGTTACATTCCATTTCTTAGTTCATTATGGTCTAATTTCAGATTCAGGCAGATAAAAATTGAATTTTCCAAAACAAAACAAATCGATACATTTTCAGCAGTTGAAATAAGTCCCTGCAAGTGTTCCAATGTTTGCAAATAATGCCATGTCTCAGTTTTGGTCCTTGCATGGAAATCATTAGTACAGTAAGTAAAGTTTATTGCAACCATTTGTGCAATCATTTACATACATACACTACATTTTACACAGAAAGGATTAATAATTGAATTTTAATTTCCATTTCTTAATTCTCGTCACTAGCCTAGGTAGTATTGGAAGATATATCCAGTCTAAATCATAATTGTACAACATTTTGCATGATTAAAGGTTTACATCATGAAGTATGTTTAAATATCTTGGTTTTAATCATACAGAATGTTGTACAATTAAGATTTAGACTAGAGAAATATAGAAAATCAGACCATTAGACTTTTATTTAGTAGGCTATGATATACAAAGGTCGCTGATCATTAGATTCAATTATTTTAACATTGTAGTATACAATTATTTGATTATATCTTATGATTTCCCCCATTAAATGCAATTTGTTCCCATGCAGGGTCTTCAGAAGATGAAGGAGCTCCTTCGTTTGCTCCCTCCAGTTCGATTGATGGTAATAACACAGATTCAGAATTTGAAAAGGGCCAACGGCACAAAATCAAGCGAGCAGAATCATCTAAAACGGTAACACCAGTCAAAGATGAGTATGAGTTTGACGAGGACGATGAAGAAGATAGAGTACCACCTATTGATGACAAACATTTGCTGAAAAAAGACTATAGAAAGGAAGTAAAAGTGAACAGTTTCATTTCTATTCCCAAATTAGAGGCAAAAACATACTCTAAAAGTTCCCTCATAACACCAAAGAAAACTCCACGCCGGATTTTATCTGATACCAACAGTTCAGATGAAGAGGATAGATTGATACATTTTTCTCCTCCTCTTCCGAGACCATCAGTGCACTCCAGTCTGACCAATACAAGCTCTAAGCAAAGGGAGTCGCCAGTAAAAAAACAGCAGAAAGAAAAAACAAAAGTGAAAAAGAAATGGAAAAAAGAGTTGAAAAACAAAGAAGTCAGATTGGGTAAAGAAGAAGATCAGTTCAATTCTTTGTCATCAGAAAGTGACGATTCAGAAAGTGAAGAAGATGAAGGTAAAGGTTCTGTGCAAAGTGCAATAAGCATGAAGGACTCTTATGTGAGCCTTAAAGAATCAACCATGTTTTCTTCATTATCTGCATCATGTTCTTCCTCTCAAGGGAGCTGTGTGTCATTGAAACACATTCCCAGTCTTACAGAGCAACAGTCCAAGACTTGGAGAACTGACAGTTGGAAATCGAACATGTCACCCGTCTGGTCTGATGTGAGTTCCTTGTCAGATTCTGTGAGAACACGACTTACTAGTGAATCTGACTATTCATCAGAAGATTCAAGTTTAGAGTCTGTTAAACAGATAAAAGAGAAAAAGGACCATAAAAAGAAAAACCTCACAGATGGTGATATTACAGAGAAGAAAATGGTGGAGGATATCTTTTCGATTTTGAACTCTGATGGAATTGTTCGGAAGCTGGATAAGCAGGGGAAGGTTGTGAAAAAACATAAAGTAAAGCGCAAGCACAAAGTGAAAGACAAAGGGAGATCACAAAGTGTTTTAACAAGTCAAGAAAGCTATCAAAAAACCTTAGCTTAGATACGGAAGTATCTAGGCAAAAAGGAGAAAAATCCTCAAGTGCGGAACCTGACAACCTTTCATTTGATAATAAAGTGAAAATGGCTAAACACGACAAGGAACCATTAAAGAAGGAAGAAAAAGAAAAGCTTTTCAAAGTCAAATCCGAAGAAAAAGAGTGGTTGCTTAAAGATGATGTAGGAAAGTTCGGTAAGGAAGAGAAGTTAACAAGGAAAAGCAAAGACTGGAAAGACAACTATAAACCTAGCAAAGAGGAGAAAGATAAGATGTTTAAAATAGATAAAGAAAAAACTTTCAAAGAGAAAGAAAAGTCTTTGAAAGAAGAAAAGATGAAATCACACAAAGATGACAAAAAGAAAAAGTCAAAAGAAAAATGCTCAAAAGCAGAGAAGCACTCAAAACCTGATAAGGATAAGACTCAGAAGGATGAGAAGGAAAAATCAAGGAAAGACAAAATTCAGAAAGAGGAATCAGATTATGAGGATCTAAAAACTAGGAATCAATTTGTAGACAGTGATGATAAACTCAGTTTATCTGATGAGCACCAAGATAAATGGTTTTCAGATTTGTCTTCTGATTCATCTTTCTTTGATTTAAAAGGGGAAGATAATTGGGCTACTCCAGTTAAGGAGTTGAAGGAACATAAGGATGACTCAGTAGTTAAACTATCTATTGAAACAATGAGAGAAGAATGTAAGGAAAAGAGAAAGGAATGCAAGTTAAAAGAAAAGAGGGAGCCAAGTGAAAAACGTCATGACAAAGATCATTTGAAAAAGAAAGATCGAGAATGTACAGAAAAGAGTTCTGAGAAGAAAAAGGAGCAGATTGATAAACACAAGTCAGGCCAGGGTTGTCTTCTGGAGAAAGAGAAAAAGAGAAAAGATTCTTCTGAAAGTAATAAAGACCGGAAAGATAAAGACAATACTGAAAGCAATAAAGAACGAAAAGAAATCATTTTTGAATTTCCCAAGGAAAGGAAAGATTTTAAAGGAAAACTAGAGGATGCCTACAAAAGTGATTCAAAAGAATGTGGAAGTGAAAGCTTCTTCAAAGAGAAGCATGACACTGATCTTAGTACAAAGACATTGGATGTAAGGGAGAGACACTATTCAGGAAAAGAGAAGGACAAAAAGGATGGAGCTGAAAAGAAGGACAAAATAAAAATGGATAAACATAAAGAAAAATCCAAGGAAAAGGAGAAAAATTCATTGGAAACTGAAAAGGAAAAACTGGAGAAGAACATGACTGATAGATTCTTAAAAGAGAAAGAAGCTGATACTAAAGACAAATTATACAGAGAGTTGAGTAGCTTCAAAGACAAAAAGGAACAAAAGGAAAAGAACAAAGATGCTTACTGCAGAGACAAGGACAGAAAAATGTCATCGGAACCAAGTAAAGAAAAGCGGGAGAAAAATATACCAGAAAAAGAAAAGGATTTTACAGAAAGAAAGGAGAAAGAGAAAATAGATAAACAAAAAGGCCCTGATCTAGAAGTAGGAAAGGAAAAGAGTTGGCATAGCATAGCAAATGATATTTTCACAGATGAAAGTGGAGATGAGCTTGAAGATTATTGTGACAGTTTGAAATTCCGAGAGCTTATAAGCAATGAAATGTGCAGAAGCGATTCATTTATTGAAAAAGAGGAAACAAAGGTAGAGAGAGATTTTTTTCAGCCTGAGAAATCAAGAAAATATTCTGCTGATAAACAGCATTCAGCAGAAAAACTAAAAGACAAAGAATTCAAAGAAAAGAAAAAGGATAAGGTATTTACAGAATGTGCAAAGGACAAAAAGGAGAAGAATTCATCTGAAAAACATAAAGAAAAGAAAGAGAGAGATGTGGTTGATAAATACAAGGAGAAAAAAGACAGAATGTCAACAGATTCAAATCTGGAAAAGAAAATGAAGCCAAAGCTTCCAGAAAAAATAGAAAAGAGGCACTCTAATGATGAAAAATTTAAAGGCAAGCCTAAGGAAAAATGTGACAAAGAGCCCTTATTAAAAGAAAGAAGACTTTCGAAGGGAAATATACTGGATGAGGAAAAGAAGTGTCCAGAAAAGCTCCAAGATATAACTTTTAATGAGTATAAAGAGGATTCCAATGACAAGATCAGTGAAATTTCATCTGACAGTTTCACAGAAAGAGCACATGACTCCACATTGTGCACCTTAATTGATGTATCAAATATTGGGCTGCAGGATATGCCAGAAGAAAAGTTCAAGGACTCTCTTCCAAATTTGTATTTACAAGAAAAAGTCAAAGAGAAAGAGCGCAACAGGCATTCATCATCGTCATCATCGTCAAAAAAATACCACGAAAAAGATAAAGTGAAAAAAGAAAAACGAGATAAACCCGAGGAATTTAAGGAAACTGTGGGTAAAAAGGAAGTGCCACCATTTGAACGGGAGCTCCCAATGTCTGATGGTGAATTTATGAGTCTCTTTATTAAAACTGAGAAGGAAGATGAACCAGATAAATTTGGGGATCTTATGTTATTAAGTGAAAAGAAAGATAAAGCTGAGTCTGAAAAGGAATTGTCTAGAAAAGCAGAAAAAGACAAAGCCTCCAGTGCTTTCATTGGCAACAATGAAAGAGTCAAAGAGAAGGATAAAGATAAGAAAAAGAAAGACAAATATAAGGAGAAATCAAAAGACGACAAAGAGAAACATAAGGAAAAACATGGAGATTTGTCCACGGCCATCAAATATGCAAAGGAGGAACAAAAATCAGGATTTAAAGACTCGCTTCCAGTAGTTCGAGAAGCTGGTGGCAACAAAGACAAACTGAGAGATGAAAGTTTCAAAAATAACGAAATCAAACAAAAAGAAAAAATCAAAGAGAGTACAGAAAAGGACAAAAGTGAAGCCATTAAGTTTAAAGTGAAAGAAAATGAAAATGGTAAACTAAACCAAGTAAAAGATGTATCCCGTAAGGACAGCAAGCCTAGGGAAAAGCTTTTAGGCGATGGAGACTTGATGATGACCAGCTTTGAGCGTATGCTAAGCCAGAAAGATTTAGAGATTGAAGAACGACACAAAAGACACAAAGAAAGAATGAAACTGAAGGAGAAGATGAGACACAGGTCAGGAGATCCAAAGTTAAGGGAAAAAGTCCGAACTGCAGAAGAAATGCGTAAGAAGAATTTAGATATGTTGAACAAAAAAACAGGACTGCTTGATTCTCAACAAAAAGACAAAAAATGCAAAGACCAAGCACCAGGTCAAATTATGTCACCAGATACAAAGACTCCACCAATAATAGGTCCAGATTTGAAAGACTGGCTTTCCACTCCTGCAATGCTTGAAATCTTACCTGCTTCACCAAGACCTGATCAAGATAGACCCACCGGGGTTCCAAAATTGACTTCATTGGCTTCCTGTCCAAGTTACGAGGACTTGATGCCTACACCCCACACACCTAATTGTCTTAATGAGGATTTTACTGATCTGTTTGAAGGAATTGAGCCCCCGCATTCAATGTCTATGAATGCTTGTTCTCCTTCTTTCTTTGACAGATACACAAATCCTTCCAGTGGAATGCAAGAAAATCCAAATCAAACACCAAGCAGAGCTGTTCCAGTCTCTGCTTTCTATCGATCAGTATCAATGGACATCAGAAGGCCATCTGAAGAAGAATTCAAGGTTAACTCTGAGAAATTCTACAGGCAGCAAAGTGTGCCAGCTACGACAGATTATGAAGCTTCCATTCCACATTTGATGGAAGAGAAACCGGTTCAATCTGACAAATTTATCGGTGTGTCCCCAACGTATGTTCCACCTGATTATGGAATTTCCTCACCACAACTCGAACATTCTCATTCTGGAATAACTAAATCATTCCCTGAAAACATTGCCCCTTCACCTGAAAGTCTGCGACCTGAAAATCTGCTTAATGATTTCCAAGCAAAACCTTTACCATTGCATAACCTTAGCCACTTAGAACCATCTCTAGATAGTTTGGTGACTGATCTTTGTTTGCCATTAGATTCCTCTGAGCATCAACCAAATACTCCTTCGATTTCTCCTGATTCAGTTTTAAGCACCAATCATTTACCAACATCTGCAGATCCTTTTCTTCCTAATGATTCAGGACAGAATAAGCTGGAGTATTCACCTCCTGCACCACAGATATCATGTGAACAGGCAGGCCTAAGTCTCGTGGATAATTCATTAGATCATTCAGTGAGCTGGCCTGTGGATTCAGAGTTGCATCTGAAGTCACCTGAAAGAAATATCATTGAGTCTTCCAGGCCATTTTGCCCTTCAGAAGATCTGCAATCCACGACAATGCCATTTATTTCCTCGGTTTCATCTTTCCCAGTATCTCTTGTAGAGTACCCAATGTCAGTCCCTAACTCACGACAAGATGGAGACGAAATGGAAATGACTGGAATATACCAAGGAGAAGCAAGGACTTTAGATGATGCTGTCCCATATATATCTCCTGTGAGACCAGACTCACCTTATGATACTTGCAAACAAATTCCAGATAATTCAACCAGTGAAATGCCTCAAGAAACGCCAAGCATAGCAATGGAAAACCAGCAGGAATCGTTACCTGCTTTAGAAACATGTAATGAGGTACAACAGAATATCACTCCTGAAGATCGGGTGGAACCTATATCGTGGAATGATCCTTTTCCAAATTCTATGGATGATCTGGATCTTGGACCATTTTCACTCCCAGTGCTGCCATTACAAGACAAAGAAGACACAGACATTGAAATGCCAGATTCTGAAGAAAATATTACGACAAATGAAACCAATAATTCCTCAACTTTGGATACTCCTACTGAAGACCTAGATCATTCTGTAATGAGAGACGAGGAACATGAAACTGTTAGTGAGAATCAGAAGATAGAAACTATATCGGATGACAATACAACTGAAGATAATATCAGCACCATAAGTGTAGAAAAGTGCTCAACAGATGCTGCAGAAATTGAAGAAAAGGATGATATTCAGCAGCCTTCAGTGCACCTAACTGAAACTGACAGAGAGGTTCAAGATAAAGCTGTCGAAACTACTCCTAGTGCTGAAGCAACTGACATTCTCCAAGTGCCTGAAGCTACTGAGGAAATTGGCAAACCTGTAAATGAGGCACCAAAGTTAACCAAGGTAGAGGAGATTCCTCAAAGGATCACTAGGAACCGGGCACAAATGTTGGCAAATCAGAACAAGCAAAATAATTCTGCCAGTTTGGGTTTGGAAAAGGAACCAGCCACCGTTCAATCAGGAAAGACCAAAGGGCGAACGGTGGAAGAGGAGGACACACCCCAGCATCCTCGAAAGCGAAAAATCCCTCGTGCAAATCACCAACCAATGATTCTCACCCCATCAGCACAGCAGACACGGGAAATGATCCAGCAAACATTGGCAGCCATCGTCGATGCTATTAAATTAGATGAGATTGAACCATATCACAGTGACAGGTCAAATCCCTACTTTGAGTATCTCCAAATTCGTAAAAAGATTGAAGAAAAACGTAAGATTCTGTGCTGTATTATCCCGCAGGCCCCACAGTGTTATGCTGAATATGTTACGTATACTGGTTCCTATTTGCTGGATGGAAAACCTCTAAGCAAACTGCATATCCCAGTGGTGAGTTTGTCCTTGTTGTCCCATATGTCATTATTGGTTTCTGATGTACATTTTAAAAATCTGCTCCCTCAGAATAATGTAAAAATGAACAGCAGCAATTTCCTACTAACATAAGTAATTCATCTAATAGAATTTCTGACTTAAAGTGTTTGTTTTAAACCAAATAATGTTTTATTGTGTCAAATTACTTGTCATCTCAAAACACTACAAATAAATACTGTCATATTTAGTGAATTTACTTTCTATGTTAGATGTGATAGCGAAAGATCCAGAGACAGATATGAAGGGAATGACCAAGTAACTTGAAGGGTTCTTGGTCAGAATATCAGGATAACTGCCTTTGTTTTCAAATAGTTTCATGGTATCTTAAGGCCTACCTGAAAAGGGACAGATGGAAATTTAATGTCTCATTAGAAAGGTAATGCAGCATTTACTCCCCATGTATAGCCATCTTCACTCTGAGCTCCAGTGACCCCAATGACTACATTTTGTAACGATGAGGACAGGATCAGTTACCCTTCACGATCAAGTAAATCTGTCAAGGAAATAGTGATAGCTTCGGGCACCCATAGAAGTGTGTTTTAAGTGCACACATACTGTTCACAGTTAATTCTGAATTACTTACTGAGAGTAAACATTAGTTAGTTTTGGGCTATTTGGTCATGTTTCTGTGCAAACCTTTTAAAAACAAATTATTATTATTATTTAATTTTTTTTTAAAAAAAGTGTGTATAAGATTCTCTTTCATAGTTGGGTCCAATAAACAATCTCTTCCAATCTGAATAGATTGCCCCACCTCCCTCTCTGTGTGAGCCACTGAAGGAATTATTCAGACAGCAAGAAGCAGTACGTGGGAAGCTACGCCTTCAACACAGCATTGAGCGGGTAAGGAAGGGATTCCTTTCAAGTTGATGTTATGTACTAGAATATTTAAAAGTATTTTTTCTTTCTTTCTTGAAATACTGTTATTCTAGTGTTGCTGCTGTAATTGGCCACTTTTATTGGAATGCAACTTTTTTTTATTATACTTCCTGGCTAAATCATGACCGTTTTAATTTGTGTTCTGAATTATTAGGAGAAGCTAATAGTTTCTTGCGAACAAGAAATTTTGCGAGTACACTGTCGAGCAGCAAGAACAATAGCAAACCAGGCGGTTCCCTTCAGTGCCTGTACTATGCTTCTTGATTCAGAGGTGTACAACATGCCATCAGAAAACCAGGTTAGTTTGAGGGCATTTCCTCAAGAAACTTTCTGTCCAGTTTCTGGTTTGAAATTTCAATTATACTTGTGTCAACATTGGGATGAAACACCTCTCAATGTATACCTGTTCCATGAAGACGCACAGATAGTTCATGTTTCAGATAAAATATATATTTCCATTTAGATTTGTTGTTTTAGTACACAATTTTTTCGCAGTTAACAGTTTCTTTGATTTGTTCACTGAAAGCTCATGGGAACTGCTTAGTTATTTAATTGGAATACTCCAGATAATGGCCACAGCATAAAAACAGATTGTTTTTGATGTGTAGCACGTGAAATGAAAAATATATTTTCTGCAAAGCTTTTTTTTATATCATTGTCTTCATTGTCCCATTATGTTTTCTTACTTCTAATCTCATATTAAGAGGAATTGAATACAGCAAATGTATAACGCATCTGTGAAAACTGAAATTTAGCGAAGGGAGTTTACAGTGTCCTGGCCAACAATCCCCCAAATAAAATTTGTCTTTCTCTTCACGGGTGCTCATGGAACATTGATGTGTGCAAATTGGCTTTTTTTTTAAAAAAACTCAGTTGATATGTTGACATATTGAGCAGTTTTCTGGTTTTACACAGGGTGATGAAAATAAGACATCTGTAAGAGATCGTTTCAATGCTCGACAGTTTATCTCATGGCTACAGGACGTGGATGATAAATATGATAGAATGAAGGTAATTGTTTTATTTCTGTCTGATATAATACATTATTCCTGTTTTAGAACTTCTTTAAAACTATGTTGCCAATGACTAACTTTGAATATATAATTCCTTTTCTTTGTATATTACTGATCCTAATGTAAAACTATTATGATTAAAATCAGCATAATGACATTCTTCTAAATAATGGCTTCAAATACCTGCTTTTGCATTGCAATTATTGATAATTATTGATTTAAGGCAAATTCAGTATATCAATGCACTTTGTATTTCAACATATTAAAAATATTTTATATGCTTATTTTGGGAACATGTTCATTTTAATGTGTGCATATTCATTTTAATATGTGCCAACAATCCCTTAGATAAAATTGGTTGTTTCACTTTGTGGCTATTTGTGGGATAAAGCTGCGTGGAAAAGTTACTCCACTTTACGTGAATCCTGTTTAGCGATTTGAGATGATACCCTGAAGTAAAAGCTCCTACATCAAATGGATTATTATTAGGATTATTATTTGTATTACAGGTAATATTTGTGATGTGATGAAGCTAAAGATTCAAAAACTCAGTGGTTGAAAGACTACAGAGTTTCCTATAAATGTTAACTTCAAAAATAATGATGCAGTATTAAAGGGCATACAACAACGAAACAAATTGCATTTATATAGCGCCTTGGGGCATTGGGAGGATGTCCCAAGGTACTGAAAAACAGAGACTGTTTATTGGAGCACTAAAGTTTATACCATTTAGAGTGAAAATGCAGGTATTCTTTCCCTCAGCTCTTAATCTGAATCATGCTGAGGAGGGAAGACTGCCTGATGGAACCTGTGATGTCTACCTTTAGAATGAACGAAAAATTAGGTGGCGATCTTGACACTGGTTTACTGTTGCACACCACCCAACAGCTAGCCAAAAATATCACTGGGAAAAGTCTGGAAGCAGATGGCCCTTACAGCAAAGGATGTCAATCAAGCAGTACCCAAATGTACATTTGAAGGAAACTGAGGGTGTGTACCCCGCCCTGGAGGGTAAATAATAATAATCCTTGCGTCTAGTATAGCACCTTTCACACTGGAAGACGTCTCACAGCTCTTAATAGGATTTACTGTAAAGTGTAGTCATTGTATTTACAGATGAATGTGGCAGCCCTTTTGCCCACACTGTTGCCCCACAAATGGCTATGAAACGAATGACCTTATTTTATTTTGGGGGGAGTATTGCAAGGAACACTGGGAGGACCCTCTCATTTTGAACATAAGTGAAATAACCTCAGCAATTTTAAAAGAAACTGGCTCGAGTTATTTAATGGTGTTCTATATATAAAATCCAACATTTTGTTTTATAATCAAGAATGTTAAAAATCAAGAATAAGAAAAGAGTGAATGCTGCAGGAAACAAATCTCGTCAGTCTCTTGAAATAATTTGCTTCTTTTTTTTTTCCTCGACCCAGACTTGCTTGCTAATGCGGCAGCAACATGAGGCAGCTGCATTGAATGCAGTCCAGCGAATGGAATGGCAGCTAAAAGTGCAGGAACTTGACCCAGCTGGACATAAGTCCCTGTGTGTCAACGAAGTCCCTTCCTTCTATGTGCCAATGGTTGATGTGAATGATGACTTTGTGCTTCTGCCGGCATGACAGTGTTAACACGTGGCTGACAACCATATGTGGCACGAAGTGGGATATTCCCAAAGGAACATTAGTTCAAGTTTTTTTTTCTTTTAAATCCTTAAGTGCTGCTTGCTAATGATTCCCTGTTTCATGAGGAGGAAGCATCATTTAAACTATATTGCACTTTTCACAGAATTTAGATATCACTTCTGCAGGGAAGAAGGATGTCGACAGGTCAGTGGTTCATATGTAATGAAAGTTAACCAATTGCAGCCTGTAGACTAAACTGGAAAGTAGCAGGCCAAAGGTATATCTGTGTTAAGTGGCAGATCAGTAGGACTCAGCATGTTGTGCTAGCTGCCATACCAATGACCTTGACAATTTGATAACTTCAGTCAACAATATTCATACTGATTTCAGTATCAGTTTAAAGGACTGATAGGGAAAAGGAGAACCGGTGTTGTACAAGTCTCTTCATTACTGGACAGTTGTATTGGTTAGCTGATCAGAATGTTTGCAAAGTGAGGTTACGTATACATTCTGACCCTCAAAGACCATCCGATCACAAGGCAAAATGGCCCATCACCCCTTAAATTGTACTGTGAATTGGGTTATAGATTTAAGGACGTGAGCAGTTAAGATAATTGAGCTTGCAGTAACAATCACCATATTTTTATAAAGGAGAACAAGGTTTGGCTTATTAAGTCATCGAGTAAACTGGCCACGGTGGCTTTTGCATGCTCTCTGAAGTTCACAATCAGTCGTGTGATGCGAGCTCTCTGCTGCTGGCTGCAATTCTGGTGCTGCTGCTGCTGCAAAAAATGACTCAGCAAAGAACCCTGTCGGAGCACAGTTTTTATGGTAAGGCCACTGAATAGGTTTTATTTCTTTTATTCCCTTAATTATTGGGCATTCATTGTTTCTCTAGCAGAGAGCATCACTTGACACTACAGAGCCAATACTAAACAGTTAAAAAAAACAGAGGATATATCCCTTAGATGCTGTACAGTTTTATATACATTAACCAGTGTACTATGATGGCAATCGCTGCCTTTAGATAATTTATTTTGCCACACATTACTGCACAGTTGTAAATAACTTCTCATATACTGTAATATCACTCTGCAGAGCTAAATGTATAAAAGAATAAAAAATCCCTCCATATGTACAGATCTTTTTAGATGGCACTTTCACTTCAGTTTGGAAAATGGGCCAAAACAAAACATTGAAATGCTCATTGTTTTACTGCTAAACATTTGGAAAATCACACTTGTACAAAATAAATAGATTTCTGTTATTAAAAAAAAGTTCATTTGGTTACTCAACATTTTACACTAAGTTATTGGCGTGGTGTTGTTCCTCTAATAATAATTTTTATTATTGAACTGTGTGGAGTTTTTTTCTAGATGTTTACATATTTACACAAGGGTAAAACTACTGCACAGTAACTTGTTTTTGAAAAAGCACTGATACTGATTCAGCAGATTCAAATTAACCTTTTTTTGGTTTACGGGGAAGCACCACATACCTGGTGTAAAATGTGTGGGTCCATATTGGGTATTTCAAGTTTCATTTATTTTTGTGAGGTAGGGAAGATCTGATTATATGCATACCCAACAGTACATGCATTATTGAATATTAGACTATTTACATTATTATTTCGTACAGTTTATGGAGCAGAAGTTGAGTGACCCTGGAGGCTGCTAATCCTTGCTGAAATGTTAGAATGTCCTGAAATAAAATGTGCTGTTGTACCTGAAAAAAAATTGACTAGTGGTTGCACAGAGGGATTATAAGGAGTTACATAGTTACAAAACTGTTTATTAAAAAAACATTCATAAGAGACCATATATCCCTTTGCTAGCTTACATTGACTAGATTTGAAACGTTATAGCTAAGCACAGACTTGGATATAGTTGTTTCTTCAAATCACCCACACACACAGATTCGCAGATTTGCGATGAGGTTTATGTATTTCTAAATCCAATCTAGAACAATTATGATAGCCCAGTTCACTAATCTTCACACTCTGTGAACAGTCAAATCATTTTCCTGATTTATGAGTTACCATAATGTATGTGTAGGCTTGCTCTTATAACAGAGCTACATGTATAAGATAAAAGTTAAACATTTTACAGGGGAATCCTATGTCCAATATGAAATTTGAACAGCCTATGTAATCTTTTTCACCCCATTGATACTGTACAACTGTGTAAAGTAAATGTCTGTTAAATTGTATCCTCTAATAAATTCACCACTGCTGCTACTGCAACTGTCATACAATAGCTATTTGCTGTTTTATTACAGTGCGATTTTAACTATCACAATTTTTGATTTCAAATGTGAGCTAACATTATAATCAGTGGTTCATGGTGACCAATTCTGAAATTGCTGGAAAATATCCTGAAATCCCATCAATTATCTCTTAAAAGTCACGTTTACACAGCAGTTTTCAGCATGCACTTAAAAAATTCATATTTGAAGTCCTGCTTTTTTTTTAGCTTTTCAGTGCAAAATAAAGAAACAGCAAATATTTTAAACATCGTATTTGCTGTACCACCACCATGTTTGGAAATCACTAATTTATCCCTTTTATTCAATCTTACTTTCAGCATAAATGGCCCTCAAACGATATCCACAATGTGGTGGTCTGCAGAAATAATATTTGTGTTTCTTTTTAAAAAAACAACTGTTTTCCAAGTTTACTGAACTGGTACAGTTTTGTCAAATACCTAGAAATTTATGGAAAGATTGGGACATGTTAAGTGCTGTGCAAGTTTTTTTGTAGTGTAAATCCAGTCTTTAGGTTTACCAAGGGATGCTGTAATCTGTTTGTGTAAAGACAATAGTTTGATAGCACTATTGTGTTTGTTTGAACTACCTGATTACTTATTAAGGCTCATTGTAATACTGAATTACTTTTGCTGAACATACAAACAGTATGCAGAATGTCCTTCAGTTAGTACCTGGCGATAACTGTTTAATTTTATCCAGGTAAATACTGTTAATTAGAAAATGAATATAAAAGTTCAGCAAAAGAGATATTTCTAATTGTTTACACTAATCTCTGAGTGTCCAATTCCTGTTCTGTACTGTATTTTTTTGATTAGTTGTACTTTTTTTTTGGAGAATAAATGTATTGTAAATCAGGCACATACTATAATGTTATCGCTGTAATGTTAGCAGTTGAACTGCGTGCATTGTGTACCATTTTAGCAACTGAATTTCTTGAACGTAGGGCTCAAACAGTGGACCGACCTACCACAAACAAGTTAACATACTAATGAGCACAGATGAATGATACTCACCAGACTAATGATTTAATGTAATAACTTTCTAGCAATCAGATATAACGTTTCCATTTATAAAATGTCTCAGTTAATCCTGATATGATTGTGACATGTTCTTAATTTTTGAAACATTGTTTTTCAAGAAAATTCACCTGTCTGAATCCAAAATTCTACTTGTTCTGGACTGGTAGACCAGTTGTTCTTGAACCTTTAGTATAATCGGACCTCGGTATTTTCTTACTTCCCCTGTGGAGTTTAATGACGTTCCTTTTCTATGCCAATGACTTTTATTTGCTTTCCGTGGGATGAGAACTGGATCAGTGATTTCATTATCCTTCATCTGTGTACAGCGGGAAACGATCTTTTCCAGAGCTCCATGTTCAAAATGGAAAAGAGACTTTCATTTGTAAGGTTGTTAGATTTAGTATTCATAATGATAGCTATTCAAGGACCAATGGAAACACTGAAGCCTTTCTGCAACTAAGTTTCTTATTTTTAATACATTTTTGGGTGGGGCTCCTGGATTCTGTAAATTGTCATTGCCAATGCAATATTCTAATAATGGGGAAGCATACTATCTGGAGTGAGACATGCAGTATATCATCCTTTCCTTCACCACACCCTATCTCAATTTCCTAAATGATGCCTGTCAGCTTGGCTTAGAAGTGACAAAAGTAACTATAAATGTGTCTGATCATATTACCAGAAACTCCCAACTTCCAGTTACTGCAGTGTGAGGAGAACGCATGGCAGTTTTATATTTTGTGCTGATTTTAACACAGCTTTCTATTTATAAACTAGTTTTAAATTTTAAATAAAATTTCATGAGAATTTTCTTCACCCTATTCCCCCCTGCATTATTATCATGTACAGCTGGATCCTGCATTCCATTTGTTTTACCTATCTAAATAATTGTGGCATTCTTAAATCTGCAGTCTTGTGTGTCATTAGTCTGTGACAATTTAGCATCAAATATTGCATGTAATGTCACATTGCTTGTATGGAATGTATGTCACTGTCACATCAATATATTTACTGTTGGGCACGGAATGAGAATATTCAAAGACTGAATGAATAATTACAATTAGAAATCTTTTTGTTCTGATTTATTTAAAATTGTTTGAGCCCTACTCTTCTCTCTCAAAATGAAACCTGTTCATAAAGCATGGAAAATTGTTCCTAGCAGAGATGTGCAGAAAGGTTGGATGTCCTATGATGATCATTGAGTTTGAACTATGGGTTACATTTATTTGTCCTTTCCTAGTTCCCTGATACTGGAGTAGTACAGTATTTCTATTTCAAAACACCCTTTCAGTTCAGAGTATTTTGTACCCTGCATCATAGACAGATTAAATTATACTATTAGTCGTAATAGGATTGTCTTTTTTTTCCATCCCTTATTTTTCTTATCCTGATTTGAAACCAGTGATCGGTGTATATTAAAAAAAATACTTTTGACGTAAGTATACATAAAATAAAAATACCCAACGTTTAGGTTGGTATTTTTAGTTCTCAATGTTCATGAGGTGTTTTCATTCCATTCGGACTTTCAGTTCTTGTGGATGAAAGAGTATATGAAAATTATTGCAGAATAACAGTGCAGTGAAATTCACTTCTGGTGCTTAACAGTCAATCAGGACTAACACAGTTAACGTTAACTTATTTCACCATGGTCAGAGCTGGAAATAAATTTTGGCTTAATGAAGGGTTGCTATTGAGTGCCAGTGGTCCTCTCAAGCAATAATAATGAAAAAATGAGACTAAGTATAGAAAATCTGACCCCCTCCCTCAAAGCTTTATCCCATGCAGGTGAATAACATGATGGAGTTTTTTGTACAAGCTAATATTTTGTCTGCATGTTTATGAAGCTATTTGCTTAATAGATTGGTATGTATGCCACACATTGGTTTCAGAACCATAGATGTGTACCCTCCAAAACCAATACTGTAATTTCAAAACTTATTTTAAAAATGCTGAAAATTCAGTGTCAGTTATTGACTAGCCAATTGTTGATCATAACAGAAAAATAAACACCTTTTTAATTTAAATCTAAAGTTCTCCAAGTTAAACTAGTTTTATAGATATTCTATATATACACAAGTGTGTGTGTGTGTATATATGTATATATATGTATGTATCATCTCTGATTTAGCGTGTATAAGTATAGGATTGGGACGGTCTTTGATTTGATATCTGCTCAGCCTTCAGTAATTTGGCTTATTTCCAAGTTCCCAGACATACAAAGAACACTACAGTAAGTTTCTTTTTTAGAAACCTAGCTCTCGTCAATTACCCAGTGATTAATCTTGGTAGTTCAAAACTTTTGCACATCTTCATTTAATAAGGCGATGAACCTATTTTTTTTCCTTTTCTGACACCTGTGGTATGTGGATTAAAGTCTCAGATGTGTAAATGTTCCTCTTGCATCAGTTCGAGACATTGTACATAGCTGTAAATAACACATAGGTTCACACCCTTCTTTGTACTAGTAAACTGTGTAGAATGTGTTTTTTTAATAAAAAAAACAGTGGCAAACATGCCATCGGTGATGTAACGATGTAATTTTTTTGTACAATGTAGGTTAATTGTGTACATATTGTTTGGCAGTGCCCAGCTGCAGTACTGTCACTAGCTGTATGAGTTCCTGCAAAACAAATGTTATTTTCTACAGTTGCATGTACAGAGAGAAAAGAGAGATGCTGTCGTCCCTCAAAAATTATGTTCGTAAATAAATGAAAAGAAATCATTTGGTGTGTTGTACTTTTTTTCAACTAAGCTGTCGTGTGCCTCAGTTTGTTGAAAATCTTTTATTCTAAATAATGAATTCTACTTAAGTTACATTTAATATTTAAACAAACTGTGCTTTCAAACTGATAGACTGGGTGAAGTTTAGAAGTTAGTTGGACAATCTACTTTTATCACCAGTATTGTCAGGAGAATGGGATGATTGAGCCTGTGTATATCTGCATGCACAAAATGTCAATACTGTTCTATTGTCAAACACCCACAAGAAATTAAAGAGTGGTAGGAAATAACCTCCCATCAAGATCTGTTTTCCTCTCTTTGCCAAAAGATTCTGCAGCTCGATTTCTTGCTATCCAGCTCCACCTGCTGCAAGGTGAACACGAGTAGATGTTGAGCGAAGATCAAGTAATGCCCCTCGTAATCAAATAGCCTTCCAATACTCAATGTTGAAGCTCACTCATGATTAATGGCACTTAAGGATTTACAAAAGCCTTATAGAAGCATACTCTGAGAAGGAACAATGGAATCAATATCAATCTTGTTTTTGAAATAGCACCTCATTGCCTCATCAAAACATCTTAAAGTGTTGCGACTGGATTTGTAGGCTAATGCCTTGGGAGAGAGGTGAGTCTGTGGCATTTTTGAGCTGACATACCTAGTCAAACTAGTCAGATAAATCCCTCGTTATGGCAACGTTGCACAAAACAAAGATGATTAAAAGTTTAGACACAAGTACGTTTGTCTATGAATGCCTTCTGTAATCCAACATTTAAGTCGGTAGTCTATGAATTCTGAAATTTATATATAAGAGTACTTAACACAAAATTAAGAAAACAATTAGGCTGCAGTTAGAGCACTATGTATTTCTCTGCTGCACCAGTAATAAAGGACATCCAAACTATAAAAAGGGAACATAGGACTATACCAGGGATGAAGGCATAATAATAATAATAACATTTGCATTTGATATGGCGCCTTTCATGTCGATGAGACATCTCAAAGCTCTTCACAGGATACACTGCAAAGCGGATTGACTATTTTGTGAATGTGCGAAGAACGATTGCAGGAATAATTTTAGGATAGGTTAAAAAAAAGGATCGGGGCTCTTCACTGGAACAGAGAATGTTTTAGGGGATCCGAGATCATGATTGACAGACAGACAGACAGATAGATAACCATCTGCAGAGCTTTCCTGGTAATTTATTGTCACGGTGACACATGCCCTTGCGTTGGTAATATCTGTGAAACGACATTTCAGAACATTACAACCGACTTTCCAACACAGTTGGAACGGTTTTCAAATGGAATGCAATCCAAATCCACAGTTGCGAGTGGATTTTGTGTTGTGCTCTACGTGCAGAGACCCTCCCCACTCAGCTCCCGGTAACGCGGCAAGAGCCAAAGCCCGAACGGGTAGAGCGGTCCTCGCCGGACATGCAACGGGAAAGCTGTGCGGTTTTAAGAGCTGGTTAGACTCCCGCAGTTACCACCCGCCCCCGCCAGCCCACCCGCCCGCCCAAAGCACACTCAGTGGGGTCCCCAAGCCTTGGCCGACTCGCCAACCCTAATCCTCTCTGGGATGAGGTGAGCAGAGGGACACCGCCCGTCCAGATAAAAACATCTCTGGAACGAAGGTGGGAGGGGGTGAAGGTGGGACACGGATGGGAATCTCAGTTGGGTTTGGATGCTCTTAAAAGCGCGGGGGGCGGCGGCGGTGGGGGTCCCCGGGGGGGGGGGGGAGGGGGTCCCCACTTGTCAGACACTGGGCTGAAACCCACACATATATATATATACACACTTGGCGCTTCAGGGAGAAATGTCCCCACAAAAGCCCTTGTGTGTGTGTGTGGGGGGGGAGCGGGTGGTGGTGGGGGGGTCGGTCGGTGCCGCTTTAATGAGATGATGGGGCGCCGCCCGGAATGGAAACTTTCCCCCCGGCGGAGGTGAGCGAGTGAGTGAGTGGGTCGGTCTGTGGGTGTGACAGGGGGAGGGTCCGCGGGGAGCGGGTCCGCAGGGAGCGGGGGGAGGGGCTGTGGTGGGAGGGTCCGTGGGGAGCAGGGGGAGGGGCTGCGGAGAGCGGGGGGAGGGGCTGTGGAGAGCGGGTGGGGGAGTGGCCGCGGGTGGGGGAGGGGCCGCGGGTGGGGGCGGGGCCGCGGGGAGCGGGTGGGGGCGGGGCCGCGGGGAGCGGGTGGGGGCGGGGCCGCGGGGAGCGGGTGGGGGCGGGGCCGCGGGGAGCGGGTGGGGGCGGGGCCGCGGGTGGGGGCGGGGAGCGGGTGGGGGCGGGGCCGCGGGGAGCGGGTGGGGGCGGGGCCGCGGGTGGGGGCGGGGCGCGGGTGGGGGCGGGCGCGGGTGGGGGAGGGGCCGCGGGGAGCGGGTGGGGGCGGGGCCGCGGGGGGAGCGCACAGCCTCAGCGCTCATGGAGTTTGACGGTCTCCTCCCGCAGGTCGGCGGCTTCGGCTCCTACCACCGGGCGCGGCTGCTGCCCGCCTGCCTCCCCGGCCTCCTGCTCGCCCTCAGCTGCTTCAGCCACTCCTTCCTGACGCTGGTGCCCGAGCACCGCTGTCGGCTCGACCCTCGGCTGCTGCCCGCAGCCCTGACCAACCTGAGCGGCCCCGAGCTGCTGAACCGCAGCCTCCCCCGGGGCGGGGAGGGGGCCCGGGACACCTGGAGCCGCTGCCGCCTGTACCGGTACCCCTCCCCCCCCCCCTCTCCCGCTCCCTCCCCCTCTCCCTCCCCCTCTCCCCCCTCTCCCTCCCCCCCCTCTCCCCCCTCTCCCTCCCCCCCCTCTCCCCCCTCCCCCGCCCCGCCCCCTGCCCGCCGCTCCCTAACGACACCATAGCGTGTACCCGGGGTTGGCACTATCAGCCCGTGACGGGCCTTCACAACAACATCGTCTCTCAGGTAAGAGCCAACGGGGAGACCTGGACCTGGTCCTCCCCGGCGAGGTGTCTGCTCGGCTGTAGGCCGGTTGGTTGGTTGTTGGCCGGTTGGTTGGTTGTTGGCCGGTTGGTTGTTGGTTGGTTGGATGTTGGCCGGTTGGTTGGTTGTTGGCCGGTTGTTGGTTGGTTGGTTGTTGGCCGGTTGTTGGTTGGTTGGTTGGTTGTTGGCCGGTTGGTTGGTTGGTTGTTGGCCGGTTGGTTGGTTGGTTGGTTGTTGGCTGGTTGGTTGGTTGGTTGGTTGTTGGCCGGTTGGTTGGTTGGTTGTTGGTTGTTGGTTGTTGGTTGGTTGGTTGGTTGGTTGGTTGGTTGTTGGTTGGTTGATTGGTTGGTTGGTTGTTGGCCGGTTGGTTGGCTGGTTGGTTGGTTGGTTGGTTGTTGGCCGGTTGGTTGTTGGCTGGTTGGTTGGTTGGTTGGTTGGTTGGTTGTTGGCCGGTTGGTTGGTTGGTTGGTTGTTGGCTGGTTGGTTGTTGGCCGGTTGGTTGGTTGGTTGGTTGTTGGCTGGCCGGTTGGTTGTTGGCCGGTTGGTTGGTTGTTGGCCGGTTGGTTGGTTGTTGGCTGGTTGCTGGTTGGAGTGCGATTAAAACCGAATTGGATAAAAGTCCAGAGAGGAACAATGTGTGAAGTTACAGAGGAGAGAGGATGGGGGGGTGGTGGGAAGTGGGGGGGACAAGAAGGAATGAGGTGTTTTGGTTTACGGAGAGGATTGTAATGGGGATCTGCACAGAATTACGTAGAAGGTTCCGATCCCGACCCCCCAGCTCGGGTCCAAATAAATCCCTGACTGCCCAGCACCTTGGGACGTCCCCCCACCCCACCCCCACACCTCGCCGCCCGAGGTGAAAGGCTCTATACCAATGTAATTTAGCGTTGTACTCCCCGAAACTCTGCAACGTTCTCCCTCAATCCCTCCCCCTTGCCCGCTCCGTCCCCCATCTTCAGGTCGTGTCTGAAGACCTTCCTTTTTGACCGTGTCTATGGTCACCTCCTCCCTTTTCCTCCCGACTCGGGGTGGTGCTCCTCCACTGTCAAGTCCTCTGGGACGCTATATAAATGCAAGTGTCGGCGGTTGCGTCCAGCGGTGATCTATTAGTGTCTGGTTAATGTTCCCTCTGTCGCTGGTGTGCTGGGTCCTAATCTTGCCATCCCCCTTGCACAGAGGCCGTCATTATTGCCAGGCGTGGACACCGCCACCATCACCACCACGTTTCTCAGGGGCGGGCTGGGGGCAAACCTATGACATTTGTTTTTCTTTTGCTGCAACTGTAACATTTAAAAAACGGAATTGGATAAATATTTGTTGAGAAACAACATAAAAAAGGGTACAGGGTAAGAGTGGAGCGGGAGTGGGGGGGGGGGGGGAGGGGGGGTGTGTAGGAAGAGATTTGGGATAAGAGCAGCAATCTACAATGGAAGATAACAAAATGGAATGTTTTTGTACCACTTGCTGAAAGTTGAGGTATTTTGCTCCTTTTTCTCTCCCAAAAATTATTTCAGCAATTTGCTAATTGGATAGTTGTTCCAGTCCAGTTTAGTGTGTTTCGATAAAAAGATTGTGAGCGAAAATGCGTGTGCTGGGGTTGCCTAAAACTTGTTAATGTTTAAATAAGTTATTAACTGTACAGAGGTTATCCTGGGTTCACTGGACAGTTGTTCCTGATGTTCTGCTGTGGTATTTCATGTAAGTATGTGAACGTTTGCATTATTGTGTCTGGTCACTGAAGACTCGTGGTTATATTGGAACTGACAATCCGATATAACTGGATTCACTAACTGTTGTTAAAAACAAATACTTTACCGGAAAATTTACCATCCACATTACATGCCTTTTGGTATTATTGCAGAAGTCATTCCAAATTCAAACTAAACGTGTAATATGAAGACATCGCCAGTTTAATAAATCTGTTAAATTTCCCATCCCAAAGGGATCTAATGGTAATAATGTACTTAAGACTTGTGCCATCTACAATTGTTACTGAGATAGCAATTAATTATAGTAGTAGTCGTGACAAGAAGCCCAGACTTACTGTGGTGTTATAAAATTCCGGATAAGCGTATCTGATACTCAGATCTGATCAGGGCAATCTATAACCCTTATGAAAAGTTTGATCCCAAGAGTGTACCTTTCATGTTTTATATTTGTGTTTGCTTCGAAAACAAATTGCTTTTTTTCATTTGCGTGCTTGTGTTGACAATAAAATGCTTCGTAAACAATTCTGTGAGTGTATTTCTCTTGCGATGTGCTCGGGCAAGGATTTCCACACAAATTGCACTTTAGGTAAAGTACCAAGCAATATAGTTACGGATGCGATTATGATTTGAATCTGGAGGGATTTACCAAATGATTACATTGAAGCAAATGTAGTTTTAATGTACGTCTTGAATCAGTACAGTATATTGCAACCCCAGTCATTCTAGAAATTATTTCAAAATGAATGTTTTCCTAAGTAAGAAAACATCTAATTCTGTATGTAACTTGGTATGAAAGTTAAACGTAATTGAAAGTCTAATTCTTATTTGTATTTCTTTATATTTGACTTTATCGGTACCAGAACAACAAGTGTAAGCAGCTTTGACTGAGAACATATAGCAAATAAACACTTTGTGTGATCATGACTCATCTGATTTACATTTACCGAGTTCACCTGACTTGTTTCCTCATAACACTATCTTTTGAGGTTTCGCTGTGTTCACATTTTGCAACAACGAGTTGCCACAAGCTGCAGATCACTTTTATTCTCAAAGTCTTGTTATACACAGCAATTGAAAGGAAAGTTCAGGAAAAAATGTATGAGCCATCCCCGAGTTTTCTTAAAAACAAGTTGCATCTAGCGGTGATCTATTAGTGACATTACTATTGAAATTTGAGTTTAGAAAAAACAGTCCCATTTATTGTAGATCTTCTTTTGACATTATTTGACTTGCAAACGACACAGGAGTTGCAATTTCGGGAAGGTGTTGAACTGAACTAATATACTTAACTAGTGGCTAATCTTTTTCTGCACATTATCTTACCAAATATATAAAAGACTGCCTTGTTGGAAAGGCAATACCCCTTATTTCTGGTGCAGCTTGTGGAGTAGGAAACCTAAAATAGAAGCTGGAAAATTTTAGATTCTGGTGATGATCCGCTGGACAAAATGCGGTTGTGTTGGTGGAAATAGAGGATGGTAAAATTTCACATTGGATAATTAGATTAAGGTGTTTTAATTTTTTTTTAAAGTGGAACCTGGTATGCAATGACTACTGGAAGGTTCCCCTGGAACAAGTGAGCTACATGGTTGGTTGGATCATCGGATATCTGACCTTCGGAACGGTTGCTGATAGGTAAGCCTTTCTGTCAGATTTAAATCATTGGCTTTCTCTGGAAAAAAATGTATTTATTTAAAGTCATTCAGGTTTTGAGGGCTTGTGTAATATCATTGGCTGTCCTAATATTGCAAACTATTATACTTGGAATTTTCAATTGTAAGGTTCTAAGGTTTTCTGTCATAACTACCATAGTGCTAAATGAAATGGGTGTCATTTTCTATCCCCTAGGCTCTTTCTTGCGTAATCTTTTATATTAGAGTCTTTTATTCCAGATTCAAGTTGAGCGCTAATTTGCCATTTTTCAAAGTGGATGTTTTATAACTATAATAAAGTTGCAGCAAAAATATTTAACATAGACTTTTTATTTCCTTCTTTAGACTGGGTCGTCGAACTACATTTATCCTGTCGTTGGTCCTGGCAATCATGCTTGGGGTTGGAGTTGCAGTCTCTTTGAACTTCTTAATGTTTATCATATTGCAAGTGTTCAGTGGGGCAGCACTGGCTGGACTTTTACTCTCTGTGTATATTGCAAGTGAGTATTTGTTGCATCTCCAAGAAACAGATTTACAACTTGATCACACAACAAATGATCAGATATTTAATTGAAATGAACTGGCTTCGAGATGACGTGCGAAATGTCAGAATCGAGTCAATCCTCTGTGGCAATACTCAGCGAGACTTGGAGGGTCCAGGGGTTCTCAGGTCTTGTTAAGCCTGCAGACCAAAGCCCTAACAGTCATAGCTGGTAAAGCAGGAGGAAGCTTGTCGAGCAGTATTTCAATGGCATTCAGCACTATAGTTAGTGGTAATTTGGTATTTTGTTTTCATGGCGAATATACACTTTCAAGACGTATGAAGGCAGCAACTTGTTGATACTTGTATATTCTGCCTTTGTCAGTAATATTGATGGTCTAGCGCAGTCTGTGTTCAAGATCAGCCATAAACACTGAAATTAAATTTCAAAGGTTTTGTTCTTAGAAGTTGAACTTGGAGAAATATTACTCTATCTCAAATCATCTGACTGTCTGTCCCATTGGAGTCATAAAATGGCTAGAATTTCCAATATTGTTTTTTATTCTTCCTCCAGGGTTGGAGATGTGTGATCCTCCCCATAGACTGATGATCACAATGATTGCTGGCTTCTTTACAGTTGCCGGGAAGCTGCTGTTACCAGGTGTGACTGAGTTGTGTAAAGACTGGCGAATTTTACAAGGTGTGGTCACTGCCCCTTTTCTGCTCCTGCTAATTTATTGGTGGTAAGTGTAAAACCATGACATCATCACCTGATTTCAAGGCAGAAAACTATCTTTGTACAAATGGATACTTCCCAGTGAACCTGGGAACATTTTTTGACCCTGTAACTGTAATTCAAAATTATTTCTTTCCTTGTGCATGTATGTTTTTTTGTCCATCAAGGACGTGTACTGGATCACATTAATGACTATTATTGACACAAATCGCTTTTTTTTTTTAAAAAAAGCATTCTTTCTTAACTCAAGCCCTGGCCAGTGCAGAACTTTTTAATTGCTTGCTTAGGAAGAATACTTCAATGGGAAATAGTGTTGGAGAGTGGAAGGAGAACTTTATATCCAAGAACTTTTTAGCACCTCCTATCAGGAGGTGCTGATACATTTTATCAGGAAATCGTAAAACACCTGACCGTAGCGGAAAGGAGTCTACTTTAATATTTTCCCGTAGCAGATATCTTTAATATCTCTAGTTTTTTTGAAGGGGGTAGGAAAGAGCAGAGAAATGGTTTACTTTGAAATAAAAACAATTTTGTTCCATTTTCTTTCAATCTGCAGTGTTCCTGCTGTGTTCCCAGAGTCTCCTCGCTGGCTTCTTGCAACCAAGCAGATGGAGAAGTGTAAGCAAATAATACGTCGTATTGCAGTGGGTAATGGTGTCGACTTGGAAGATGAATTATATGCTTCTTGCAATGTGCTTAATGGTATGTTACATTCTGTGGCTGCATAATGAGAAAATTGTCTAGATTACTAGTGTCTGCCTTCTCCTGTTCTTGTATTTTAGCTTGTGACTACTGTTGTAGCTTAATCTGTGAGGACTGCTATAGTGTATCTGCACTACAGAGAAAACAGTAAAGTGAAAAAAGACGTGTTCTTTTGATACCACACCGAAAGTTTTAACTATTAAGTTTCTGTAGCTTGGCTTTTTTTCCCCAAAGTTGTTTAGTAATGACCAATTTCAAACACAATTGACATATTGTGAAACAGTGGTGAAAAAATGTATCAAAATGCTTGGCAAAATATTATACAATTAGTTTACACTATACTAGATCAGGTCGTGTGTCCATAATTCTGTCCTTTTATAACTGATGTAGCACATTCTTGTTATAATAATAATCCTTGCATTTGATATAGCGCTTTTCACGTCTTCTAGACGTCCCAAAGCGCTTCACAGAACACACTGTAAAGTGAATTGACTATATTAGTGGGCGAACGCGGCAGCCAATTGCGCGCAGCAATGTCCCATAAACAGTCATGGATTGAAAATGACCAATTTATTATTGTTTTGTTTTTTTGGAGGGATTATTATTAGGGCTGTGTGTGGAGTAAGGAAACTTGCCCAAGGTTTCGCCCTCTGCCTGGAATTGAACTCGGGTCTCTCATTTGCAAAGCGAGTGCTCTAACCACTGAGCTGCAGGACTCCACATTAAATGTACCCCAAGACATTGGGACTGCAACTTGGTATTCTTGAGTCATGTGTTGATGTTTCTATGATTGAGTGACCTGTTGTGTGGAATTGAACTAGCAGACGTAGAATATCCTTCATTGACAAAGCATTGCATACTTTCTCACACTCAAGTCTGAAATATCTGAGTTATTAGATTTCACATTCCAAATAACTTGTAACTGCTCATTCTTCTTAAAATCCTACATTTTTTTCCCCCACCCTCCACAGAGATGGATACTATGTTTGAAAATGTTACCCAGCCTCAGTGGTATACCTTCTACGATATGAGTAATGCTCGAATTATTTGGAAGAATATCATAATCCTGGGGTTTACCACGTAAGTGTTAAGTGACTGACCTAGTGCTTGGAATTCATTAAAAACTGGTTGATCGCTTTTAACCTAAATGGATGTCTTTTGGACTAAAGTTTCCAGTTTATACTTAATCTAGTGCCCCACTATCCAAGCTAAATTTGCATGAGGATGAATGGATAAATGTTTTCTTAAAGAATAAAGGCTGGTTTCCCATAATTACCAATCAACCTTAAATCTGTGTTACTGTTTTACCATGAAATCGGCTGTATCTGTTTTGCCTAAATTCTAATTCATTATATTAACTGATATGTGCATCTTAGCTGCTATTCTAAACCAATGACTATTTCACATTATTTTCTCTCAGGTTCATTGCTGGTGGAATTCAACACTGCTTCGTCCAGAACCTTGTTGGTTATGACCTAAGTTTCTACTTCAGCTATTTTATCATTGTAGGTACTGAAGGTGTGGCCTGCCTTTTCCTTTATTTTACTGTGAATAAGTGTGGCCGGCGTGGCATCCTTCTGCTCACAACAATCATCACAGGATTGTCCTCGCTATTGCTGCTTGCCCTCATGCAATGTAAGTATTGATGATTACTATGATTATCCTCCATAGAGAATACACATTTTTTAAAAAAACTGTATTAAGTGTACACTTCATTTCACACTGGAATCCTTTTTTTACCCAGCAACTTTTAAAATGACATGACATTATTATTACTAAATCAGTGACAGTATCAGGAATCGCCTGTTAGTGTGTTGTTTTAGGTAGAGAAATCGGACTTGTTGAAGAAGTAGATGCCCTCCCTCCCCCCAATTCTGCAAAGTGTGGAAATGTTTTTTTATAATATTCTGTTCACCTAGTTTGTTGTGATCCTTGGCATTTATACTCAAGCTCTTTTAAAAGGGAACTTGAAGACCTGGATACACAACTTTTTTGTTTAATGCAGTTGATAAACAAGTTGATATATGTTTGGATTGCAGTGTTAACTGCTGACAAATTATGTGTGATTGTATCTAAATGTAATGCAAACATATTTGTGGGTTTAAGCTCCATATCAGGACTTTGACTGGTGTCGCTCCAGTGCAGTGCTGGATATGTGCTGCATTGTTGGATGTGTGTCCTTTTGATGAAACGTTAAACTAAGGTTCTGTCTGCCTGTCCGTAAAGGATCCCATGGCACGTTTTTTGAAGAGAAGGCAGTTTCTCCCAGTATCCAGGCCAACAATTCTCAAGATAAAAATAGTCATTCACTTCATGACTGATTATGGCAAATTGGCTGCCATGTTTACCTACAAATAGTTGCTTTTACTTCACAGTAAAATCTTGTAAAGCACTTTGAGATAGCTCAACAATGTGATAAGGCACTATATCAAATGCAATGATATAACATTAATATTTCTAAGATGAAGTGGCTACATGAAATGTACATTATAATCAATGCATACAACTTTCTCTGGAAATATGACTAGGGCGCAACGTTTACTCAGGTGTTCTTTAATGCAGGAATAACCTGTTGGACCAGTTTTCATATTGTAATATTTTTAAGGTTACATTTTGGTTTATTGTTAGTCATTTGTTTCAGGTAGTTTTCCATGTGTCTTAACATTAGATTCCACAATTTACTGTGGACCTATCTAACTTTTTTCTTTTTTTCTTTTTCATGATCCAATACAGGAATAGATCAACTTCCTCAACTAGTATCTTCAAGTTCTATATTGTGACAATAGTTGATTCTTATGTCAATATTGTAACCAAATTGGGTCATTTGTTTTGAAGTAACTATTATGCGTTGGATTTGATAAGATTTTCTTAATGTTGATGACAAAATTAAGTTGTAAAGCCTTCGTTTATTTCAGTATCGCTCGGTTTTGTTTTCTTGCAGATTTGCATCACAGTCTTGTTCTTGCACTTTCTATCCTGGGTCTTTGCTCATCATATGCTGTTGCCATATTAAGTGTCTTTTTTGCCAGTGAGGTGATCCCTACAGTGGTTAGGTAAGTACAACAGAAACAATATTTACATTCACTTCAAATTGAAGCTGTGGTTGAAGCAAAAAGCTTCAATGCATTTAAGAGAACGTGATGATGATGATGATAATAATAATAATAATCCTTGCATGACACATAGATAAGGCAGAAGCAAATATAAGAGGGTTGGGAGCCTGTGTGGAGTATAAACACAATCATGGACTAATTGGGCTGAATGGCCTGTTTCTGTGCTATATCACTCTATGTAAATTAATTAGTGTTTTACTTTTTCACTTCGAGTACCGATTATTTTGTTTTCATTTGAAAAGACCTTTAGCACAATAATTGAGGCTTTTGAATTAAAACTGGCAAGACAATTGTGGTACAATATAGTAGTTTTAATATTGCAAAGCTTTGGGAAGTAACTTAATTATTTAATTACTCATTACTTTGAATAAGTTCATGGCTGTGTGCAAATTGGCTGCTGTGTAGTCACTATGCTGTACACCAGTACATCCTTTGAGGTTCTTTGAGACATTTTGATGATGTGATAAGGAGCTGTAATCATTACAGGAGTATTATAACTTAAAATAGGTAGGATTAATACATCTATTACATTGTTGAAAATTAATGTAAAACTAACTCCTCCCATATCTGGAATTTATATATACCCTTGAAAAAAGAATATTGAAGGTTATACTAGGATTATTACTTTGTACTGTTATAATCAACATTTTTAGAAACCTCTTAAAAGGTGCTTAGTTCTGTGAAGTTGGTCTTTCCTATATTTTGTTTCTAATTGTTTAAAACAACTTTGTTCACAGAGGTGCAGGTCTAGGCTTAATATTGGCTATAGGCTGTATTGGAAAAGCAACAACTCCAATCACGGACCTACACAATAAACATGGATTCTTTCTTCATCATGTTATATTTGCCTCTTTCGCTGTCCTGTCGGTGTTGTGTGTTATGTTGCTTCCAGAGAGCAAACGCAAACCACTCCCTGAATCTATAAAAGATGGTGAAAATCAGAGACGTCCTCCACTATTTTTGCCCCGAAAGAAGGATGGAGTGCCTTTGCTACCTTCAAAACAGCACCAAGAGTATAACCCAGAGAACTATTCAAGACTTGTTACAGCAACTAAGAAGATGTTGACCCGCCATAAACCTTTTAAATCACTGAATCCTGTAAATGAAAGTGTGACTGAGGAGAGTGTAGATTCTGCTTCCTAGCCAGCCTTCGTGTTGTCTATAGAAATTCTATAATCTAATGGTGCATATTGTTGGAAGGCAACTAATTACTGTTTGGTCGTTGAGAAACTGACATGTTAGAAACTACAGACTAAATACAGGATCATCTCAAAAAGTGTATCGTCTAAGCGCTAGTTTGTGAACTAGTGTCAGGATTATGTTCAAAACATTAGATAAATATATTAGAAATATCAGTTTCTCTTCATCTCTAGCATTTAGTTTGCGTTGTGTATAATGACCTTTTCCATTTTACAATTCATCTTGGGGAAAATGAAGTCTGATTGTTACATTCTGATGTTTGCAGAACTTATTCTGTTTTAGCCAACTCAGTTGAGAGAGGGTTACGTTTTTTTTATTAAAAAGAAAAGCTTTATGTACAATCTTCATTTCCATTCACTGTTCTATAAAATATTTTGGCCTGAGCTCAAATCCTGCTTTGAATTTGTTTTTACTTTAGATTGTGAAAATTAAATTCTTACACTCCTGCTGATGTTCTGTTAATCAAACACTTGTGTGAATTGTTTGCACCCTTTTCAGCTGTATTGTGCAAATTCTCAGCTTTTCAATATCAGTTCCAGAACTCAATCTTCAGAAAATTACACATTAAATACTATTCCATGTGTTTTTTCCCCTCGTGCCTTAAGTGGTGTTGCTGAAATTTGGAGTATGTTGATATTTGCCAATATTTTGATTGATCAAGATTTCTTGAGGTTCCGGATGAGAGTTGCCAGATAAAGGGTCAACTACAAAGATCGTATTTGTTGTAATCTTTCCAATCGAGCAAAATATATATTGCATATATATTGGCTTCTTTCCCTTGGATGACTTTACTGAGATTGGGAATTATTCAGCGTAAACCTGTAGATGTGGAGTTGGAGTTGATTTAAACCAATATCAAAATACTTCATGAAGACTCAGCTGTACGGTTAGTTTTCCAAATTAAATGGGTCTTGTGGCTGATTTAACTGCATATCCATGTTGGATTATGCAAAGTAAGAATACCGTTTGAATGTTTCAGATCATTAGATCAATATTTTTGCAACTTCATTACAGTAGCATTCTACGAGAGTATTCTGGTAGGAAGAAATTGCTTATAATACATTTTGCCCGTAGCATGTATTATATTTTTAAAAATTTTAAATGTGCCAAATCAATTTAAATTTATGCAATCATTTCCCTCCTCTCCCCGCCCCCCTACCCTTCCCTCCCCACCCCCCGTTGAAGGCTACATTGGATCATGTGTACCACAACATTGTTTAACTAGGTTAGCAGTCATTCGAGACCTGTAATAAGTTTAGCCCATAACAAAATGTGGCAGTGAAAACACACAGTAGCTTAATGGATGTGGGGCATTTTACAGTATTTGGGTTTTAGTACTCAACTTAGTTTTCCTACTAGATTCTCAAGATGATTTTAGTTTTTAATAACTATGTCCAACTATGTGTACTCAATCAGTCTAAGCTCAAGCTGTCCTGGCTACCAAGGGTCTATTGCTGAAAGCATAATTAACAATGCAATTTTTCATTTTTCTAATTTGAGCTGTAAATGTTTAAATGTTATTTGACTGTTTTAATATGTTTTAATAATCTTTGAAAGTCAACATTTGTTTCTGCAGACTACTGTGCTTTGCCCGAAACCTTACAGGTTTAGGTTAAAAATGCCATAGAAACGTTTCTGGCTGATTCAGGAAAGGGGATATCTTTCGCAAGGTATCAATTTGTTCCTTCTTAAGACAATGGTACACAAGACTATCAATGCTTCTTGTGTAAGGAGTTGATAAATCTTGAATTTAAATGGCGTTTTTGGATGGGGGGAATTCATTTTACTGTTTTTAGTTTTTCAAAAATAGGGAAAATCTTGTTGATCACCTGCTACAATATTTTGCAAATAAACTTACAATGTGATTACTGCTTTAACTGAAAATAAATTCCATCTTACAGCAGTATTTATAATTCTCAGCAATAATATTGCCATCTACCAAGTGGTACTGATACCAACTTAGCAAATGATAGTGACTAGTGAATGATATTTGTTAAACCTTGTATATAAATGGTGTTGCTGTATAAATATCTGCATATGTGTGATACCTACACAGATGTATGTTGCATGTATTTATGTATAATATACTGTAAAATTCGCTCCAAAATAAAACTTGGTTACTCATCTCCACAATGGCTCTTAGGGTAGCGGCCCACAATTTTGGTCATTGATGAATTTCTGATGCCCATTTAATTGCCATAAAATTGAGACGAGTTTCACCAATAAGTTTAGGAAGCTGATCCTGCATATAGTATTAGATTAAGGAGTTTGTTCAATAACGCACTATTTTTATAAGATTTATACAGGTTATATACCTGCGATAATGGTCCACAGTGACATCTCTTGCACATTGCACAGAGGGTGCAGGAAAGTCAGCAACTGCTCAAGGGACAGTGCACTGTTCACTCACTGCTGTGAGGTGTGTTTCAGTGCTGATGGGTTTGAAAGTCCCCTCGGTTTGCTACACAATTTTTTTTCAATTTGTCCATGCACATAGCACAGATGTGGGATATTCTGCTTTTTAATGTGCTCACAGTAGAATTCCCTACACTGTTGGAGAAAATGAAGTGGAGGGAATTCAATGATTCCGGACAATGTCACAAAGTTAAATCTACAGTCAATAAGTACAGTACACAGTGTCTCATTTTGCCTGTAGAGGGCTCTCCAGCCCAAGTTAAGTGCTTGTGCAGAACATTTTTTAACAAAGTTTTTTTAAAGAATATATATATTTTACCACTAGAAAAAAAAATTCTGTATTTAACTTCCTATACACTAAACTTCTTAGACTTGTTATACATTTCAATGACCTTGCAAAAACTATTCATTATTTATAATCCTTGCATTTGATATAGCGCTTTTCACCAGATTGTAATTATTACCAATGCAATCACAGCATAATACTGTTAATAATCCTATAACTATCTACCCACTCTCGATAAGTATCCATTGATCAAGATTCTCAAAATGTATACAAACAAATGAACAAAATATACTCCTCAAAGAAACCGTTCTTGTAGTGTGTGATGACTGCAATCTCAAAGTACCCAGTGTAAATGTTGTTCATGCTTAAATCTTCTATCTCATTTGGACCTGCTCTGAAATCTGCAAGTGAGTGGATGGAACTATTTTATGAATCAATTAGATTATTTTATGTGTTGATCAAATATCCAGGAATGCTCCTGTTAATGTACCTTCTGTTCCTGAGAGGTGAGTTTAATAAATGCAGAAATAAGAAAAATAAAATGGGGAAGAAGAAACAATGTGAAACTTTTTCTTACAGTTTTATATGTAAGTTTATTTACCTAGCTATCGATTGATTTACAAAATAATTCACAGAATGTCAACCTATCCTTATCTGGTGTCGCATTTATAATTTTAACCAATCTGCCAATGTGTTATCAAACATTTACATTCGCTAGAAAGTCTCAAGTATATTGCAATGCATATTTTAAAACTTAGAATAACAATAGTTGGCATTTTGCATATAAAGTAATGCAACATATTTTGATTAAAATGTATCTACAATGTTGTTCTATAAATTGGAAGACCGTTTTTTTNCTGTTGGAATATTGGCCTCTTACATTGTTGCTCTAAGCACATATCACTGAAGGACTGCTATCTTTACACATATACACATACAGCAACGTGTCACAGATAATTGATATGCATCCTTCTTGCTTCAATCACAATAACTCGTACAAGAAATTCCAGTGTTTTAAATTGAACTGGAATCTTAAATTGAATTTGTAGCAGTCTTTCACTGATTTGCGCATTGCAAGAATGCAATTAATGCACGGATTTGTATATAAAAGAATAATTATAAATGTCTTATAATTATAAATAAATCAGATGACAGTGAGTAGATGCACAAATGCTTGTGTGTGCATAACCCCAGGTTTGCCCTTTTGCAAGATGTGTAATATATTTGGATCTTATCAAATTGAGGTTGTTTATTGATGAGAAAGATATTAATCAAGATAACCATGCTTAATCAATCAGATAGATGCAGACCTAATATTTGATGGATTTTCTGTTTGAATCCATACCAGGCTCCTCACTTCCATTACCCAGGTCTTTCCAGGCTCCACTGGTTCCCTGTGGCAGAACAGATCCATTTCAAGATCCTCAATCTTGCTTTCAAATCTCTTCATATCGTGGCACCTCCCTATCTCTCTGATCTGCTCACACCCCACTCCTCTACCTACTGCCATCCCTCAGTTGGCACAGATCTGCTGCATGTCTCTTGTTCCCCCCACTCTACAGTTGGTAGCCGAGCTTTCAGTATATCCATGGAATTCCTTGCCCCAATCCCTTAAGATTCCCTACCTGCGCTTTTGGTCACCACACCCCACCCCCCCCCCTTCCAGCTTCGAGACGTCTCCAAGCGCTTCACAGAATATACTGTAAAGTGAATTGACCGTATACTTGCGGCCAAAACGCGGCAGCCAATTGCGCACAGCAGCGTCCCACAGTTATGGATTGAGTGACCAAATTACTTTTTTTCTTGAGGAATTATCATCAGGCGTGCGGAATAAGGAAACTTGCCCAAGGTTTTGCCCTGCCTGGACTCGAACCCAGGTCTCTCGCTTGCGAGGCGAGTGCTCTAACCACTGAGCTACAGGACTCCACGCTGGTGTAGCCATGCTGCTGTTAAGTGCTCCTTCGTGCTGCCCACATGATGGGGTTCATAAATTCAAGTCGTTGAATAGCATTTATGTGCTTTTGCTCAAAAAATAGCAAAGTTTTGTTTAAACTTTGGAGCAAGTTCGAATGAGTCCTGCAATGATACTAGTGGAGTCAAATCTAGCTGCAATTCATAATTGAAAACAAATATGGAACAAACAAACTTAGAAAGCAAAATTGATGTAAGGCTTGACGTTATTTCCATGATAACATTTAAAGTGTTATGAAAACCCAAGTCAATACTTTGACCTTAAGAAGTGGTACTGTAACACATAATTGGCAATAAAATTTCGAGGTTGCATAAGATGAAAAATGAATTACTTTATTATCTCAAACAACAATTCGCAGCACATAACATTCTAGTTGCCCTCACATGGTTAATTTGGCAGAGCATTAAGGTTTCAATATAACATTACACTTGCATCAGAGCAATTAAAGTGCGGCAAAACTTCTGATGAGTTTTAGTTTTAGGGATAAAGCTGCCCTGTACAATCCACAAGGTAACCTTTAAATATTTACATTAAGCATGTTCATCACTTGGAGAAAAAGGTAGAAAAATGTCATGAATGCCCCTGATCTATGCAGGTAACAGTTAATTGATCCCTTCAAAAATTGCATGCTTGCTCCTTGGCATAATTTGATTTGGTCAATGTCATTTCTTGTTCTAAAGTTGTTGGCAGGTTCAGACCAAAACTACATCTTTGGTTCACCTTAATTTACAGACATTTCTGAATCTGGCCCCTAGTCCTCAAAATAATAATAATAATAATAATCCTTGCATTTGATATAGCGCTTTTCACGTCGGGAGGACGTCCCAAAGCGCTTCACAGAATATACTGTAAAGTGAATTGACTGTATATTTGTGGGCGAACGCGGCAGCCAATTGCGCACAGCAATGTCCCACAAACAGTTGTAGATTGAAAATGACCAATTTATTATTGTTTTGGGTTTTTGGAGGGATTATTATTAGGCTCTGTGTGGAGTAAGGAAACTTGCCCAAGGTTTCGCCCTGACCTGCCTGGAATTGAACTCAGGTCTCTCGCTTGCAAAGCGAGTGCTCTAACCACTGAGCTACAGGACTCCGAATATCCTGAAAGTGCTGACCTACAGTCCACACTAGTAAGGATTCTTATTTTCTGTCTTAAACAGTTATCTGCAAGCAGAGTTGTACTAAATCTTATTTAATTTAGTATTGAAAACTAGTATTGCAATATTTTCATCTCTCTTGACTTTGTAGCAAACATTATCTGTCAGATGCTCTTTCTTAACTACTCTTTACCCTTCAAACAATTAGTCATTCATGAATGTCGTATATGTTATGGAGCCAGTTCATATCCCTCTAGGCACTTCCTGTTAAATGTCTTGTTCGTTCTCTCACTGAAAGTGATCCAATGAATTGGCTGAATTTTCTTTCAGCTTATCTAATTCAAGAATTTAAAGCGAAAGGCATCTTCACTATTGTGTGGCCGGAGTTCTGAACAAATTGAGATTCTATGGTTGCTATTTTCAGAAAGGAGTGGGTGTTTAGACAGTTTAGTTAATTTTACTTTATTTGCCCTAACTTTGTGACATTATCACTGAGCTAACCAGACCCCACTGTCCATTAACAAGTTAGCATTACTTTGCAGGTGGCAATTTAGGTCACCTAATTAGAAATGTAGTTACACAAAGTTAATGTTTCTACCCATACAAATGCGCTCTCTAAGCCAATGCTGTGGCACCGGTCATTTTCCAAAGGTATCATTTTGGGAGAGAAATGGCATAAACAGGACACACTTCTGCAAAGTAGAATTTTTTACCTTTTTTAAAACAGACATAATAATGTGATTCCTTGCCAGTAAAACTATTCACGATGATAATAATCCTTGCGTTTGAAATAGTGTCTTATCACGTCTTCGAGATGTCTCAAAGCGCTTCACAGAATACACTGTAAAGTGGATTGACTGTATTTCATGGGTGAAAGGCGGCAGCCAATTGTGCACATAATAGAGTATAATTGGCATGCTTCAGAATTGGTTATTTAGTATATATAAAGGGTACATTTGGACTTCTGGATGTAGCTTATGGCATTCTTCTTTCAAAGTAGCAAGGATGATTCTAAAATTCATAACCACCTTATGAAGAAACTTGGTATTATTAGAGTAAATGAGCTGTTGATAGGAGTATTGAGATGGACCACGGGATCTTTTATGATCCTACATATTCCTATGTTTCTTTAGAGAACAAAATTTGGAATGTTGCTTGGTTTTACTACCTGGGGTCAGTGAGAAACGTTAAAGAACAATTCCTGAAAAGATTAAATGAGATGGATTAAATCTTTGAGTAGGTTATATATACCCAGGTGTCAGCTTTTTTTTCCTTTGAAAGCACAATGATCTTTTTAGAAATTGCATTGAAGGACAATGTTGGAAGCACAGATTGTACTTATTTTGATAAAAGCAATGCACAACTTGTCACCTTCTTGCAACAGTCACATTTGTTTTTACTCAATAAAAAGATCAGCATTTAACTCAAGTTTATCAACTAAACTTTTGTTTTCTCTTTGTTTCTGATAAGTGTCATATGTGAGCTACAGCTGTAGCCCTTCACTTCCATTTTGCCTGAATGTTACATAAAATGTGTTTGTACAATTTGAAAGGCCTGTTTTAATTCAATTATTGAAAGAATGTGGCACTTGATGAATAAATAGTCAGCAGTTTGGGGCATCTTTAAAATAATGCTTTGAAAAGTCGTTTACTTACGCACATTTAAATTTTGTGGGGTTTATGAGATGATTCATTTTGTGCCCAGTTTCCAAACTAGGTTTTCAGTGTAATAGGATAATATCCAATTTACGCTGGATATTATCCTATTAGCGGTTTACAACAACTGTCCAAAATCAGTTATATAATGTAGTGGTTGCTCCTGTTTACTTTTCTTTATCTTCAATCTTTTATTGTAGTAGATAATAAGGAAAACTCAGATAGGTACCACCACACAACTAAGTCTGTCCTGGATTGGAGAAATGTATTTGTACTCTGAAAGTAATCGGCAGTCAGCTACAGCTGTGGATTCCGAGCAATCCACCTGTATTTAGCTTGGCCCAGTTGGTAACACTCCTACATCTGGGTTAACCCAGATCTGTACTTCAACTCAGGGTTTGGGCTGTCACTGGAGTCCTGAACTGGGTCAGAGATGTGGTCTTTTGAATGAAATGTTAAATGTAAGTTAAATGTAAGTCTGTCTGTTCTGCAGGTAATTGTTAAAAGATTCTATGACACTTTTCAAAAAAAAAAAGAGGGGAGTTTCTTACAGTTTCCCGTTCAAGAAGCCACCAGATTAACTGATCGATCACAACACTGATTTGGGATTTTGTTACGTTCATCGTTTGGTAAAACTAATTGCTCACTGAAGCCAATTTTGTCAGCAAAAACACTACCTTTTTCCCAAAAACACAAAAAACAGTAATTACTATCAAACACCTTGAGCCTTGAACATGTTGGGTCCTAAAAATGCAAGTTAATTTTTGATCCACTTATACTGTGGTGATATTCCGTATTATTCATTCATTTACATGAAATAAAGGTAAGAAGAAGAATCCTTGCATTTGGTTTCGTGCCCTACCATGTCGGAAGGACTGCTCAAAGTGCTTCGGAGGAATTACTATGAAATGGAGTGACTGTGTAGATAGGATCCCTTCCCATTTTCAAATTGAACCTGTTTGACATAACTTTCACATCTCATTGAATAGCTAAAGTCTTACACCACTCACACCTTAAAGGCCATGAACTACCACCAGATTCACCTAAGGTGAGAGAAACAGAACCTTTCCCAGAGACCAGGAAAGTGCAAGTACTTGTGCCCTATTACATATAATGATGCTGTCTGGCGTGGAGAGTGCTATATAAATCCAAATTTTTGTTCTTGTTTTTGTCCTCAAATCCCTCCACTCCTCTGCACCCCCCGACCTCTCTGACCTCTCTCCTCAAAACAGTGCCCATTGCCTTCGTTCCTCCGGGTCTGGCCTCCTCCTTGTCCCCCGAGTCTTCCGCTTCACCTTCAGTGGCCATGCCTTCAGCCACTACGCCCCGAGGCTCTGGAACTCCCTTCCTCACTCCCTTCGCCTCGCTCCCTTTCTTCCCATTTTCAGGTCTCCGCTGAAGACCTTTCTTTTCGACCGCGCCTTTGGTCCCCTTCCTCCCCCTCCCCCTCTCCCCGGCTCGGCCCCGGGATCCGTGACAGTGAAGCGCTCCGAGACGCCGTCCGGCGTGGAGGAGGAGGGGAGGGGGGGGCGACATAAATCCAAGTAGTTGTCGTCGTCGCCGCTGAAACCGGTTGCGGTCAAACCTGACCGCAGGCGATCAAGGGAAGTCTGTGCGGTTCGGAATGCGATAATCTGCTGTCGTTCGTTCCGGATCGACTCGACTTGAGGCACCAGAGTCGAACATCAAGAAAACAGACGATCTTTGATTCCTTCCACTGCACATCCAACCATTCCTGAGCAACTGCCAGTCAATTAAGAGCCTGGCGGGGCCAGAGCTTGTGATAGGGGGGGTGTGGGGGGTGTGGGAGGGTGGAGGGGAAGGGAGGAGGTGTTTGGGTTCTGTGGGATGAGCTCAGATCTTTTAAGAGAAGTTATTTTTGAGAGCGAGTTCCCCACATCCTGTGTCCAGCTGCTGTGCTCTCCCCCCCCCCACACCCACCATCCATCCCACCCCCATCCCACCCCCACCCACATCCCACCCCCACCCACATCACACCCCCACCCACACCTCCACCCCTACCCACATCACACCCAGTTTAATGAAGCCGACTCGCAACGGAGAGCAGCACAGAGAGAGAGAGAGAGGGAGCGAGAGAACAGGACCTCGACTTCACCCACTGAGAGCACAGGACGAAGGCACTGAAGTCGACCTCTCAATGAAAGCCACTCCGCAGCCTATCCTGACAGCCCACACCCCCCCTCCTCCCGCTGAGCGCAGCTGATGAACGCAGAGGCGCCCCAACCCTGGAGGGTCGGGTAACTTATCCCATAGCGTCGGTACTTTCGGGGTAAGGGGTGAGGGGGGGTGGTTGGGGGATTGGGGGTGGTGGGGGGGCTTTATCTTAAGGTACCCTAAACGATTCGCGTCACTGAGCATCTGGAGGTGGGCACCGGCCACCCAGTGTGTGTGTGTGTGTGTGTGGGTGCGGGTGTGGGTGCGGGTGGGTGCGTGTGGGTGTTCCCCATCCTCTCGCTGTCTAACCCCCCCCCCCCCACCACCACCACCCTCCATCCCCCATCGCCCACCCCATCCCTCTCCTCCTCCTCCAACGTCTTCACTGAGCGGTTGACTTCCAACCCCAACGATGAACGTGACCGCTTTGGCTCCTGCGGGAACTTCGCCCGAGGACCTCAGGCTGCATTGGCTGCCGCACGGCGCAAACAGTTCGTCCAACATGTCGGCGGTGGCGTGTCAACATGTCAGCGTCCCAGAAGAGGTCTTCTTGTCCCTCGGGATTGTGAGTTTAGTGGAAAACATTCTGGTGATGACGGCGATAATTAAGAACCGGAATCTGCATTCCCCCATGCACTACTTCATCTGCTGCCTGGCAGCGGCGGACATGCTGGTCAGCGTGAGCAACATGGTGGAAACTATAGTTCTTATTCTAATGGAGCGAGGAGTCATGGTGGTGCAGAACTACCTCCTCAAGCAGATAGACAACCTGATCGACATGATGATCTGCAGCTCGATGGTGTCGTCGCTCTCTTTCCTGGGAGCCATCGCGGCAGACAGGTACATCACCATCTTCTACGCCCTGCGGTACCACACCATCATGACAACGCGGCGTGCGGTCGGCGTGATGGTTGGAATCTGGGTGGTCAGCATCACCTCCAGTGCCATCTTCATCGTCTACTCGGAAAACAGCGCGGTTGTCATCTGCCTCATCTCCTTCTTCTTCGTGATGGTGATCTTCATGGGTGCGCTGTACCTCCACATGTTCACTCTTGCTCGGATCCACGCCAAGAGGATCATGGCCCAACACAAGAAGCGAACGCTTCACCAAGCCACCAGCATGAAAGGAGCCATCACACTCACAATCTTGCTGGGTGTCTTCCTCATTTGCTGGAGTCCCTTTTTTCTTCACCTCATCCTCATTATCCTCTGCCCCACCAATCCATACTGTCAGTGCTTCACTTCGCATTTCAATATGTTCCTGATACTCATCATTTGTAACTCTGTCATTGATCCGATCATCTACGCCTTCAGAAGCCAGGAACTCCGCTGTACTTTAAAGGAACTGATTTGCTGTTCCTGCTAAGGTGCCTGGAACCTAAAAAGTGAGTGTTGCAACAGTCGATTTTTTTTATTGAAAAAAANGGTATGGATGTCCTTCCGGAGTTGAAGAGGCTATATAAATCCTGTTTGTTGTTGTGCTATCAGTTTAAGATTTTCTTTTATGACATGCTCGTTTGGTTTCACAGTGACTTGTTTCCTGTTCTACTCACACGTCGCGGGAGAGGAAGGGACAAGGCAACTTGTTTCCTAGTGCTGCACGTTCAAAGCATCGTGTCATTTCTATCTTTTACCTTAGGTAAAAGGTAGGAAATACACGATGCCTTGAATGTATATATATTTCTTACCATTTTCATAATCCATTTCTTTACAGTCTTCTTAAAGATTTCCCCCCCACCCCACCCCACCCCCCCACACACATACAAACCAAGACCAGGAACCCCTAATAGCTTTGACACCAGTGTGTGATGAGGTACTATTTTGATCTGAATTTTAAGTTGATAAACACTGACTTGTAGGACTGGTCAGTCACCACCACACCTCGCCCCCCCACCCCCCACACACACACACAACATTCTCCGCTCAATAGGAAGTTGTGTTTGCTGCAATACTTTCTAAAAAATCTATAAGAATTCATATCCGCTGCCCAACATTTGAATCAAAGTTGTAAAAATATTATAATTGACTAGAGTAAAAAAATTGAGAGGCATTTATAAATTGTTCCCCAAATTAGCAGCATTAAAATAAAGCTAGGTTATAGTTTTGTATCTTATTTTGGGAAAGACATGCACATTTGGAATAATAATTTAGTTGTGGAAATCCATCCCGTTAATTAAGATCACTACCAATTAAAATAAAATAATTTTAATATTGTTAAAAAGAAAAACTCCTCCTGTTTTGAAAGTTGTAAAGATTCTTTGGTACTCCACAAATTATATCACTGTATCATGTTTGCTGTAGAATCACTGGTTCATGTGTATCATCAAACATGGTGCACATTGAGTTCATACTAATATAAGAACTGAAAATTGTCAAACTTGACTATGAATGGCAGATATGAGGAACAAGCAGCCTTGGAAATAGAACCCCTTCCCCACTATCATTGTGGTGGATTCATTTAAAATAATACAAGTGTCTCTGGTTGAATGCAAATAATAAATTTTGGATGTTGCTTTCAAAGTAACATTTGTTTGCACCTGACATTGTAATTTCTCTTCATGGTAATAGTAGAGTGCACGTAAGTTCTTGCCTGAAAGGTTGCTATGACTTTGCACAGTGTCTGTTCATGGTGCTATTTTAATACTGTAATTTAATACTGTAAATTTGCGGAAAAAACACCACGTGAAAAAACTTCCGTTTTCTCGGGACTATGAGTGCTTTCGTTGAATACTAAAATAGCAAAAGGGAGCTAGTGCCTAATAATAAATTAGCATTTTGTTTCATTTTGCACAATTTTTAAATGTGCGAAAATAACAAGTAATGCGTGTTTCACAGCACTATAGAATGTAGGCCACCACTCTGATGCTTCTAAGTAAGGAAGAACAGTGTCCGACAACTGTAACGAATTTGGGATCCATGCCTCTTGTATTTTAATTATTTTAGAGAAAGTTACGCTGATCAATGTGAGGGATGTCTATACCGGGAATTGGAATCCACTTTGTTATTGAACGTCAAGCATTCCAGGTCAAGTAAAGCAGGAGATTCATGGCCATACATCCAATCCTATGTTTGGAGCATAAATCTCCTAACATGCTGATCCAACATTAACCATCCTTGAATACTTTCTGAATCAGGCTGCCAATGTGAGCCAAATTTTGGATTGTTTGTGCTGTGGATTCATGGACAGTAAAAAATAAATAAAAATGGTGCCTTCTGAAGTTGATTTCACTTTTAGGATTCTTAAAGCTCTGACAGTGAGAGAGAAAGAGAAAGAAAGCACTTGTGTTTTTATAGTGACTTATTATATTAAAGCATATCAAGGTGCCTTAAAGTAATTACTGTCAAGTACGGTGACTTTTAGCCGGCATCAGCACTGCAAGGATCCACCACAACCATGATCGATTAATCTGGAAGATTGTTGGTCGGAACATTAAATCTTTAACTACCTGAATTAGAAGCCAAACCTCAATTTAATACTTTACTCAAAGGATGGTACCTCCAACAACAACAACAACATTTGTATAGGGCCCTTCACGCAGGATAGCGTCTCAGAGCACTTAACAATCCAGCAGCATCCCTGCACAGCACTGGAGTTTGGGCCTGGACTATCACTATGGGTAAGTTCATCATTCTGGCTGTTGCCTTCAAATCAATAGGTCCCAAAGATGAAAGGACAGTTTTGCCACAATCAATACAGGGCTCTTGTTTCATTATATACTTGATATTGTATATTAAAACCAAATGAATATGCCAAAGAAACTACACTACCAAATAGTCTTTATTCATGCTCTCATCTCAAAGCCATTACAAGAGACAAACAAAAATTGTCTCATGGACCGAGTTGCCCAACAATTTATATTCTATCCCATTGATGAGTAAGATCCCATGTATTTGTTACAAAACAAGAACTTTAGTATAAGAATTGAAACTAAATTATTAAAAAAGCATGTTAACGTTCAACAACTACTAAGGCATTGGATGTAATTTTAGGTTCATGTCACAAAAAATAAAATTGATTTCTGTGATTTTATCTGGTTTCATAGGAACCTCATTGAAAGGGTGTAAAACATATATTACATCAGAAATTCCATACAATGTTTGTGGATCCTTAGTATAAATCATATCTATGATGTTTTGGTAAAGATTGCGAAGAATATTCATTGGAATTAAAAGTTTCAATGAAAATTGTAAGGCATTTCTATAATATCAGCTAAATATTCTATTAGAATATTCTATTAAAATGAATTAAAAGAAAACCTAATATTAAAACGTTAGGCTGATATTCCTTTTGTGTTTGTAAATGTGTAATAAGTGAAAAGAATAACATGGTGAAATGTACTGATTAACTATTATCAGATTTAAGCAACACAATTCTTTGTTCTAGTTGCTAACTTAAAGCACCATGTCCCCTTCACCAATTTTAAGCAATTGTTTAAAAATTATTATGGAGTTACTCTAAGCTGATCAAACACCCTGCACATCAGCTCTGCTCTGATGAACATTATGTCCATATATGGGGATATGAAACGTTTAGTATTTTAACAAAAATGCATTTAATTTCTTGTTCTTACCTGAGCAGTCAAACCTCAAGGTATACTTGTACAGTATGTAGATTTCCATTCTCCAAAATTGCTGAAAATTAAATAAAACCGTGACACCACTTATAAACTTAAACTTCTGGTTTACATTCTGTATTTATTGAAAGTAATCAATGTTTCATTTGATTTTTTTAAATTGATGTGGGAACTCTGTCTGACATCCTGTGATATTGTAACCAAATTGTAAAATATGTCACTGGGTGCTGGGACGCCACTTAATATATTTGTCACATTTATAAATACTTTTGGTCAATCTTCTGGCTTAGATTGCCAGATTTTTTGAGACAAACACAACTTTTGATTAATAAAAGTTCTGAATTACTAGCTAATTTCACTGTTTTAAAAAAGTAATGTTTCACAGATTTGAAAATCCAAAATGGTGATTGGTATATGTGAAATATTATCAAATATAAGGATTAAAAAAATGTATTTACTGATTGGAAGCAAGAAACACTGTTTGAGAATTACGGAGGATTCTTGCAGAAATCACAAGAAGGACTTAACACTTATCATTGATTGCCATTGCCAGGCCCAAGAGGACTATCTTTTATACTCCGCAGACTACTGCACTAACTGCAATACTGTACTAGTGAGAGATCTCTCTATCCAACTTTGTGATATTATTTCTTGCTGTTAAGTTGTTGGTTGATGATCAGATGGTCCAAAATGCCAGAACTAAATGAACAGTTATTACTGAGGTCTAAAGTGTGGTAATATCTAATGTAGTGAGGAGCTAGGTTACTGTGTTTCATAATGAGATTCTTTATTAAGGAATTCAAATGGAGATTTCTCCCAGTAACTGGAAGTATGTGATACTGACCCATAGGAACTCTGCTCCAAAACTATATCCCATTTCCTTAATTAAGGAACCCTGTAATTCCAGGAGGAAAACTAAACATAAACTTAATGTGTGATTAATCCTTTTAATAATGTATGATTAATCCCTGTAATGGAGGAAAGGTATACACAGATGGAAGGCTTTCAGTGTCCAATTGCTCTGCCATTTTTGCTCAGTTGACATTCTAACATGTACATACTCACTTCTCTGGCTGCACCCAACTTTGTTTAGGTTGGTTAAGCATCTACTATAATGAGGATTCTCTTCTGATTTCAGTTTTGTTTTTTTCAGATGGATTGCATTGGAGTTTAACAAATCAGTACAGGAGATGGTGCTGTTCTTGGAGGACCTTTGCTATGGAGGAGAAGACGAGGATGTGGGGGAGGGAATGGGGGATGAGGGGTTCCCAGGTGAATGAACTCCTTCAGATTAACCTAAAGAGGATGAACGTGCACTATTAATCCAAATTCTACAAACTGACCAGGTGCAAAACTCCGCACTTCAAAACTGGCAGCAGAATTCTTATAACTATGTCTAACGTCATTTGAAAAATACCAAAAGTAATTTGAGACATTTTTGGTAATGCACGAGTCTTACTCCACTGAATCTATCAAAGATCAAGCTGATTTGTTTCAGACCCTGTGATCATGATTGAGGTTACAAAATATTTCAGTTCAGAGCTCGGCTGGCCCACATTCCCAAATTTCTGATGAAACACCATCTGAATGAAAAATTCCCGTCAACAGGAAGAAGCTCAACAAAAACATTTTATGTCAAAAACATGTTCAGAATAACTTAGCCTGAAACATCTATTAATGGGTATCATTAATAATAATGATGAGAATAATTCTTGCATTTAACATAGTGCCTAATCACATTGTCAAGACGTCTCTAAAGTGCTTCACAAAATTTACTGGAGCTGATGAGTGA